GGCAGTCTACTGTGTACACACTGAACCTGTGCATGTTTGAGTTCCGTATAGAAACTACATGCTCACCAGTGACTGTGGGCATTTGTGCACATTTGTGCTGTAAAACCAAAGGAGGGTTAACGGACGCCACATGTAACTTGCGAATGCAGCATACCATCAAATTGCTCGGAACCCTTTTGACACCATAGTCACACACAAAAAAAAGAGTCTCCCCAAAACAAGAAAAACATAAATGCAACTACAGGAAGAAACTGTAATTTCTCTTCCAGTGAAAGTGAAATGAACCTTTGAGATCGCAAACCATTCAATTCGTACGTCATGGCATGTGTTCAAAACTAACTGTCAGGAACATTAACGGAAAACCAAACCTTCTCCCAGATGTACTTGCAGCTGAAGCAGTGCGACTTGAGTCAGTGTTTTGAAACTTACATTCAATTATTGTGCGCATGCGGCCACAATTAAAGACACGTATTACAAGACCAAATGTATCATTACCTGAATTGAGTTTTGGCTGGTCAAGTTAAGCAACTTAAGGAAAATGTAACTAGGTATTCACCGTGCGTGCTTTTTCTTTCTTTTGCAGCAAATCAAATCTCCACGCCAGAAACTCACCAAACCAGTGTTGTACAAACTGCTCAATCATGTTCTGAAAAGAATGAAGGACAAGGTGATCAGTGTTTTGTCTCTCATTCAGATTAACTGAAGATGATCTGGTCTTTCAAAGCACTGCATGATCTTTGAAGAAACTTGCTTCATTCCAGTACTTTAGAATAAATCTCAAAGGCTGTCCGCCTCCAGCGGGACCAAGAGAGGGGTTCCATTGATGGGAACTACACTTCACAAATGATTTTGAAACACATGCATTATGGTCACTTTACTACCAACAAAATGAACATCCCCTCCCCTGACATGGATCTTTCCAACCGATTAGGGAGTGCTTTTGCTTGAGGCGGATGAAGCTTTCACATTATTGACAAAGCACAAGAAATGCACACTTCACACTAAAATTGGAACCCAACGGCCCGTGTTGGCTGAAATGACTTCACTCTAGATCGTGAGTATGTATCTGAGGATTTGCACATGAAAAGAACTGCTGTGACAGGCACACACGTTGCAGGACAGTTGATAAACCTTTGTTCTTTGAGTTTTCCACCAGGAAAAAGGCAGGCAACTGTATTAATTTAACATAAAAGGCATCCAGATTGAACATATTTATGATTTCATTTTAGTTTGTGAATGTCTTTTACCAACCTTTTAATATCTGACCTGTTCATCTGTAGGCACGAGATCTTCACAAGAAGTTGAATATGGGTGCGCTTCCCAACTACTACAACCTCGTTTACAGGCATGTTGATCTTGCCACTATCATGCAGGTACAGCCACTTTTTGAAGACATCAATTTGAACCTTAAAAGAGAGGGGGAGGGAACAGAATCCACCCCACCCCCAGAACTTTTTGTAATATCACTGCAGTGCATTTTTAAAGAGTTGAGCCATTACGAGGTTTTCGAGTAACTCTTTGCAGTCATTTTGATACCATTTTTACAAAAATAAAAGTACCGTTCTCGCACAGTGTGCGTTTTTCCGAGATGAGTAAATCAAAAATGTATACTATTTCCACTGTAGTGCTCGATGCATACTGGCATGCGTTTAGCCATGAATTTCAAATGACCATAACGACAAAACCGTATGTCTGATTGAGTTTTAAGTTCACATTTGTAATGATAAAGAGTGTCTCTACATGCCTGCCAGGTTTTGAGAAAAACAGACGTGGTACAGCCAAGTTTTGGGGGGGATGGGGGTTAATGTCAGTTACATGTATTTTCCTTTCACTGCTGCATTACATCACTGTAAGCATTACATACTCAGTCTATCAGTGCTTTCAGAACAACCTCGTAAGCTTACCGAGTCCAACTTAACCACTTTGTGCCGGGGAGCCAGGTTTTGGATACCTTGGTTTTGTACGCACAGCCAGGGTGCCCGAAATTGGACAAAAGAGTTGGGCCATGTAACAAAAGACCTTAGTTGGAACAAAAGACCGAGCTACTGGGAATTGCCAACATTTTTTTCAGTTGTCAATAGCTGAGGAAATCCGTCATTGTTTGAAAGATTATACCACCGTTTGTGGCATTCAGCAGATTACCACTAGGGACAAAAGCACTCCAGTGCTGAGCAATACAATACCGCTGTACGCTAATCATGCCCCTATTGAAAAGACATCAGCAGCGCACTGTGCTAGTTTCGGGAACAAAAGAAACTTATGTAACGCCACACAATCTGGGCTCTTTTTACAAGGTGACAGGCCTGGCTGAATTACTCGGGCATCAATAGATGTTCCCTGTCAGATTCGAGTAGCCACCAGACAGTCATTCGTGTGGGTGTAAACGTCCAGTAAATGAAGTAATGAATTTTTGAAGAATTTTGAAAACGGAATATCTTGAAAAACGCCTGTATATGTGCATGGCAATTTTAATTGAACCTGGCAGCAAGTGGTTAAAGTGTATAACCTGCTAACTAGTGTTGTTATCTTGACCAGTTGGCCACGTAGCTTTCCAAGGTTAGTAATTTGATGTTTGTTCAGTGGATATCCAATTTACCAATAAATGTGAGCACTGTGTGCCCAGTACAGACTGAGATCACCAAAGATAAAGTTTGAGATCACCAAAGATAAAGTTTAGACAACTGACTGAAACCAACCTCCTGCTTGCTTGTGGAGATATCTCCATCTGTGACCCTAGAAATACTTGTTTCGTCGTCTCATCCACATGTGCATCATTTCAACTTCTGTACGTATTCATAGAAGGGCCTATAATTTTGACTTACTTCAAGCAGAAAGTTGAAGACAAGAGATATCGCTGCATCGAAGAATTCCAAGCTGATGCTGAGATGATGGTCCATACGGCAGTCATCTATCATGGCCAGACGCACGAGCGAACGGATCTCTGCCAGTTTACACTCAACGACTGCAACTATGACGTGAGTCAACTGCGTTTGTCTGGCCATTTTAATTTTAAAATCTGCTTACCTTTTGAGTTGTAGAGACGGTAAAGATAAGTTTAATGCGATGGGAGCGAAGTGTGCTCATACCTGAAACTCTATGGACTGTTAACAAGCCTAAGAATGTGCCAGAAATGAAAAAANTATGGCCACGGCTAACAGCCATGTTGATTGCACTTTTCATGGTCATGGCTAACAGCCATGTTGATTGCACTTTTCATGGTCATGGCTAACAGCCATGTTGATTGCACTTCTCATGGCCACGGCTAACAGCCATGTTGATTGCACTTCTCATGGCCGTGGCTAACAGCCATGTTGATTGCACTTCTCATGGCCGTGGCTAACAGCCATGTTGATTGCACTTCTCATGGCCGTGGCTATCAGCCATGTTGATTGCACTTCTCATCGCCGTGGCTAACAGCCATGTTGATTGCACTTCTCATGGCCGTGGCTAACAGCCATGTTGATTGCACTTCTCATGGCCGTGGCTAACAGCCATGTTGATTGCACTTCTCATGTTTCATTTTACTATTTGTGAATTTTATTTTAATCTCATACTGGTACTTCCAAATTTTGATTTCCAAAATTAGAAGGATGTGTGTAAAAACAAAATTCCACAAATTCTGTTTCAGCTGGCAGAAATCCAGCTTTGTAAGGATTGCTACCTGATGTCCAACAGTCGCACTGACAAAGGATGGTTCTGCAAGCCCTGTGTAAGTGGATCCTTGTGGTTTCCTCTTGGGATGGTTCTCAATAGCACATTCACATGCAGATAACGAATCACAGTGACCATGTAGCAAGATACAGATTCACCAGACACTTTTATTGATTGGTTAAGATCACTTGTGCATGACTGTATTGCAAGTCTAAAATGGTGAATACTTTTGGTCAAACCATAGTTCGGACTTGAGCTTGCCCATAATTGCTTTTGATGGTCATTCTGAGCAGTAACTGGTACAATATTGCTGGTAGGGGCAGTAGTGAGTCTTGTGTGAAATCTGTCAATCCTGCTGCCATCAGTTGACTTCCTGTCCTCATTAATTCCCAGCTGTGAATGATTGCGTTGAAAAGGGGAAGTAAGGCACTGTTTGATTGATTGACAGTGAGCATAATTGACTACTAACATTCCTCAATCGTGTCTAACATTTTTCCCGCAACTGGCAAATTATCCATACAGATCTTTGGTCGACGACTTGTCATTATATGACCTCAAATTTGATTCTCCCCCTAGGACCCTGCTCATGAGGTTGTGTGGGCCCAGATGAAAGGCTTTGGATACTGGCCGGCTAAGGTGTTGCAGAGAGTGGACAGTAATGTGGATGTGAGGTTCTTTGGCAGTAGGCACCAAAGGTAGTTTGCTATAATTGAGATCACTCCTTGTCAAACCAAAAGTCACTCAGGATAAGAGCTGCAAGAAAAGTAGAAATTAAGCAACAAAACATGCAGACTAACTGTAAACACGTATTTGGAATGTCAGGCTCCAACAAAGATGAGTAACTTGAAGGGTACAAATTATAGGCTGTAAATTTCTGGAAACGTAAAAAAGTAGGTTTTTAAAAAGAAATCTAAGGAGCCATATGAATGACAAGCAAGTTTTTGTTGCCTGAAAAGAGCTCAATTACAGGAGATTGCCAACATGCTGCAGACTTGTTTTCATTAACCCTCCTCAATCCTTCACCTGTTGGAGGACTGAGAAGTGTTAGTGTTAAACACTGCAGCACTAGAGCCGGCATGCAAAAACTGGTCATTTTTTTCTCGTTAGACAAAATACCAATTGGGTTCACATTAGAGTGGGATGTGAACTTTGACCTCAAGAGTACTGACGTAGATCATACCCGCTGCCTTGGTGGAGTAGTAGTTGGGCAATTGAGAGTCATAGCGGAAATACAGTCGGGTTTTATTTGGTTAAAGTCCAATTCTTGTTTTCATTCATAACAAAAAAGTTTGTATTTTTGTATCCCTAGATTGTGTTTCTTTTCTAGCATCTACCCTTTTTATAAAAGAAGATTAAGACAATCTGATTTGAAGATTCCCTTATTTTCTCCCTTGCTACTTTTATGTCAGAGCCTGGATACCGGAGGAGAAGACGAGAGACATCAGTGTACACCACAGCAAGCTCAGTGTCAAGGCGACCCAGGGGTGGCGCAAGGCACTCAAGGAGCTGCATACATACCTCGGGAAAAACCCTAGGTCTGGCTTTTTTTCCGTTTCTGAGGACTGACAGCGAGACCCTTTGTCTTGTTCTTTGCGGCATTGGCAGTGTTACTCTGCTGGTTCTTTATCCTGGTTGGCTGAAACACGGTCACGTGGGATTCGCTAATACAGGCTTGTGCATGAACTTTGCATTACTGTGACCTTGATGTGCACCAAGGCATCGCGTCTGCCCAAGTCTGGAGTGTACTCATAACTGGGCAAGTGACTGGTTGCAACACCTTCACACAATGAGAACAGCAAACAGCAACTGAAAACTAAATCCAGGGAAATTGAAAGCATTCCACTAACTGCTGAATTGCTTGCTGAAGTGCTAATTAGTTAATTGTGGAATTAAAAATCTTTTGTTATTGTTACAGTTTAGACAGAGCTGTTTTAAAAACATGTATGAACTGGCACAATTTGGTCTCCTGTACGTGTCCCCCTTGGGCCTGTGAATGACTAGTAGGGGGTCCTATTTCCATTGGCCTTCCGTGTCAGGGAATAGGGACCCTCTCCTGGTCACCTACAGTCCTTGTCAGCTCATATGTGTATGCTTGGTACCTTGTTCGATTTCTGTTGACCCCTGTGTTGATTTTCCAACCAGTCATATTGTAATTTCAACATTAAACTCCATGCTATTAAACGTGAAGGCTTGGTCAGTTTTCCATTTCAATGAAGCACGTTTTGTATATGATTGTGTGGTTATCTCACCGTTGTTACAGATCAGATAGTGAGGAGTCCGTGGACAGTAAGCCCACACGGAAACGAAGTCGTGAGGACTCAAGCAAGACAGAAGGCTCCGGTGAAAATGAAGATGACGTGGTGTCCAGTACCTACAGTGATGGGGATCAGGTAAAAAAAAGCTGAACCTCATTCTTCAACTTATGTCAAAAAAAACTCTCATTTTTTTGTCTCTGTACTGGAGATTTAAGCAAACTTAAATGTTTATGTTTTCCAAGCGTGCACCCTTCTATTTTTTGGTTTACACCAGGTAAATAGACCTAATCATAAGCAAGCAATTTTTAATCATGTTCCCCAGATCTATCTGTATTCAGTGTAATTTTTTAAAGAGGGTGGTTCCAGACTGTTTTGGGTTTCATGCCTTACTTTCAGTTTTTTTTTAATTTGACTTAAAACACTGAAATATAGGAAATTACAAATTTAAATTCTTCATCAGCGTAAATGGCATTAATTTGTAATGAAGCTGAATTTCATTGCTTTCATTTTTATTCTCAGGATTTAATAATAATTAAAGTTAATCTGGCTTTCAATTCAATATGACCCCCCTTCTGAACACTGACATCAGTAATAAAAACAAGAATGAAAAAACTTTACTGGATACTGATGCAAAATTTCACGGCATTTACCTGTCTTGCCTTCGAGTCTTTGACCATTAATCTCTCTGTGCAAGTTTATTTCACAGCCATTTTAATCAATTATAGAGCACCCAAGAAATTAAGAAAATGGTTTTGGCTCCAATTTTGTTGCTTCTTAGGACCTGCCATTACCACATGAACATACTAGACCCTGTGGTTACATGATTATAAAATGCCGAGTGGCTGGGATTTACTCAGAATTCTCAAATTCCTCCGTTGACAGAGGACTGTAAAATGTCAAGTCACAGGCAGTTTATGTTTTACACTGATGATCTGCCATGTTAATAATTGATTTTGTTTTATTTTCTTCTTAGGTTGAAACAAAGCAGTCAAGATTACAGGTAAACGTGTAATTATTTTGGTTAAGTAAGAATATTCCTTCTTTATTTAAGTACTTCTCGAAAAATTTGCAGAAGAAAGGAAACATTTCATTTGTAGAACAGACCTTACAAAAACGATGGAGCTCTTGATATTCTGGGCCACATAGAAAGTGGGTTGGACTTGGAGAAGCACTCAATATAAGCTCTCTCTCTCTTTTACAATTAGTGAGTGAAAGTGCCCACCATGATGGTATTGATTATTATTGATTATTTCTAGGACCATTCTGTTTCAACAAGTCAAGCATCACCGGATGGAGTTACAGCAGATGAAAATACAGTTAAGAAGGTAGACTTCCTTGTTTTGAATTTCACAAATCTGCCATACATTTGACTTGCTGTGGTTGTTGTAATGATGGTATTTTTTATGCCGATTTTGAAAAAGATGGTGTATTAAAGGGTGTTGTCTATTAGTCACAAGTATGGATTATAGCTCTTACTGTACTCACATTCACCAACACTGATGTGTCAGGGCAGAATACCTGACGCATGCTTTGTCCCTTCTGGGATGGAACCGGCAAGGTCTCTGTACAGACAACTGAAGAATCTACATGTACATCGCATAATTGGTTCCATTTTTGTCGGTTCAATTACATTGGAATCAATGTGATTTCCATGCCAACTTGCCCAAGTATTGTTGAGTCAGTTCACCTACGCACAGTCTCAGTGGGAAAACAGTGTGTTAAAAACACTTTGAAACGATACCACAGAACATTACACATCACCGGATAACCTGCTTTGTACTAAGAATCCTGCTTTGTACTAAGCCTGCTGACCAGAGTTGGATATGAATGACGGAGAGAAGTTGATACAGGCTACTTGACTGTAGTTGATGGCATGGGAATTTCCATTGTGCCCAAAATAACTTTTAAATGTACATTGTGACTCCATTTTGTTTTTGCCAGGAGCATTCCTCATCCACTCCGCCGTCCTCCCCCAATCCAGCTCCGCCAGAGGTCATTGCACCTCCTCCAAACAAGAAGGTAGCTTTTGTTTCTGATGTATTTAGAATGACAGGGCAGATACAAAGCATTTTGCAGCTGTCTGTGCCCAAAGCTGTGTGCATCAGCATTTGTATTTCTGCAGCCGGTTGTGCCAGAGAGGTACCATGAAGTGGCTACTCACAATCCTGGTCCCACTGGTTCAGCTTCTCAGGGGGGCCCTCTTGGTTTATAAAAAGATTTGTTGAAAGGTAGCCTGTATCAGATACCTGTTTTTTTAACTGTCAGAAATATATGTACCAATGGGAATTCTCTTGCTGATGCTGCTCGTTTACCTTCTTTGGGAAAATTAATTTGGTTGTGAATAGGAAGACCTTTTGCCATTGTTTGACTGCATAGAATTGTCTCTACGGCATGAAATTATAATTCGCAGTTTTGAAACATCCTCTCAAAGTCGCTACGTGAATGTGCACTATAGGGTTATGGTTGTGTCCATCTTAAGTTCGTACAAGTCCATCGGAAGTCATCCAGTCTTAACCACTTACTGCCAGACACGTATCCTTTATACGCCTGGCCGGGGTCTCCGAAATTGGACAAAGGGAACTGGGCCTTGTAACAAAAGACCAGGCTGCTGGGCATTACCAAGTTTTTTCAACTGTCAAGAGTGGAGATAAATCCAGCCTTGTTTTGAAACAGTATACCACGGTTTGGGGCATTTAGTGCGAGTGGATTACCACCAGGGACAAAAGCCCTCCACAACTGCAGCGATGAGCCACACATTACCACTGCACGCTAATCTGGCCCCTATTGAAAAGAGGTCAGCAGTGCACTGTGCCAGTTTCGTGAAAAAAAAGAAAATTACGTAACACCGCAAATTCTGGTCTCTTATTACAAGGTGGCAGGCCTGGCTGAAATACTCCAGCATCAATAGATGTTGTCTGTCAGATTAGAGTAGAAACCAGACAGTCATCGTATGGCTGTAAGTGTCCTGTATAAATGAAGATATGAATTTTTAAAGAAATTTGAAAAACAGAAAAAAAAAAGGATCATTATCCTGTCCCAGCATTATCAACGTTGATAGCTGCCATGGTTGAGTCCATCTCAAGTTTGTACAAGTCCTTCGTAAGTCATCCATTCTTAAGCCAAGTCACAAACTATTCAAATGAACTTTGGTTGGACTTCTGAAAAGGACTTCTGATGGAGTCAACTACAGCCTCACTGCATAGTTGCCTTGAACTCTTGCAACAGTCAATTTGAACTACCGACTTATTATATACCATTAATGATTTGTGGCAATTACAGCTGAGGAGGAACTCCACCAGCACGGTGGAGCACCAGGAGATGCCCCAGTTACCCAAGGTGCCAGACGGAGAGAGCGGGAGCGGTGCCCCGCTGCAGTGCAAGTGCCAAGAGGTGTTCGACGCCATGCTGGCTGAAAAGCTGGCCCAGCAGCAGAAGGAATTGCAGAAGGAGCACCAGAAGGCACTGGAGAAAGCTGTCAAGGAAGCCCTGAAAAAGGTCAGTGTGCACCGGAGATGCTAGGTGTGGTAGCATGCTATCTCTAGGATGCCGGTAGAGATTGCACTTGGACAAGATATTTCAACCCTAACCCCCTTTAGTCACTAATTGTTCTTCAACAGTTGAATACTTCACAGCAATTTGCTCACAAAATAGGGCCATCCAAGCTCACAGTTTGAGTCAAAGTGGGTAGGTCTGTGTCCACGAACACCATCTTTTGTAAATGTCTTTGTTGGTTGTACATTTTTAGCAGTGTTGTTTCACGTAATCAGCAGAGTTTGTGGTCATAAGCTGTGAAGACCTTGAGACATCCGTGTCAGATTTGCTTATGATTTCATTTCCAGTGAGCAACTCAGTATAAGGTTAAATCTTTGATGATAAAATTATCTGTTCTCTCTCAGCTGTGGTCGCCATTAATAATCCTTCAAATTTCATTTGAAAGTTTTTGCATCTTTTGGAAGAAATGAAGCTAGAGCTTAGTCTCTGTGACTTTTCAAAGTTAAAAGTTGAAGTGCAAATAGAATGCTGTTGAGTTTCAGCATACTGGTGGATTGCTGAGAATTCAGGAATTAAACCCCCCCCCAAAAAAACAAACTCCCCCCCCCCAAAAAAAAACCCCTACAGGCCTTTTTGTAGGTAGCTGTGAGATGAATGCTGTTGATGCTGGATCTTGTGACAATTTTTTTCTTAATCCCGTGATTGCAGGCCAAGGAAGAGTTTAAAGCAGAGAAGGAGAAGGCACTGGCCCATGCCAAGGAGAGTGCCAAGATGGAACTGGAGGCAGAGCGCAAGGAGGCCGCTGAGCGGGCCCAACAGGACAAGGACGAGGAGCTGGAGAAACTCAAGACCAAGCACAAGGAGGAGATCTCCTTCACTAAGAAGCGACAGTGGGTGAGTCAATGGGCGGGTCTTAACGAGAGCAGAAGAGAGCACAGCGTAATAGAAAGCCATCATGAGCTGTTCATAATGGACATGCAGCACTATATGCATAAGTGTACAAAACAAGGGGTAGATTGTATCGGTGACTTTGTGAAAATGTGTAAGTAAACAGACTGTGGAAAGGCAGCAGTTAGGCTTTCAGCATCGTCCGTTTAGGGTATTAGTGCAGCCTGCCTCTTGGTTGCAAATGTTGGTCTGTTTCCTTGTGCCTAGGCTGTTGTGCAGACAAATCGTACTGTTTCTTGCAAGATTGCCTGGGGTCAAAGGTTCCAAAATGGCTGCATGGGTGTTAAACATCAAGGATCCTGCTTAGTAAAACTAGCTAGACTACAAACACTCGTCAAGTGTAACCTCTGAGAGTCTGTGAAAACGTATATAAAGATTGGAGGATTTGGGTTAACACTTAAGTGTGAAAATTGGGTAAGTTACATGTAGATGGGCTGTGAGAACTAGCTGGAGAATATACACGTAGCATATGCATGAAAGCAGTGCAAATTTACACCAGGGTGAAATCACTTGATAGTGTAAGTTGCATTGTCACTGTTATGTTGTCACTGGTCAATCAGGATGAATCGATTTGAATGTAAATCATAAGATGTAGATATAATGTTAGTTCTCTCCCTAAAGGGACAATGATTAGGTTACTAATTGTTACATATACCTCACCTTGATAATGGAATATTTCCTCTGCTTACTCTGCCAATCAATCAATTGATTGACCACCTGTTACTGTCCCTGTTTGTGCAGTGTATCAACTGTGAGCAAGAGGCCATGTATCACTGCTGCTGGAATACCTCTTACTGCAGCATCAGCTGCCAACAGTCCCACTGGCACAAAGAGCACAAGCGTCTCTGCCGACGCAAACGGTGATGAGAAACCTCCCTTCCCCCAAAGATGGCCATCACAGTTCAACCAACGGGTCAACGCTACAAGGTCAGGTCTTGCAAATGCACAAGGTGTTGTAAATGTTGTACATGTCAGACTTAGCAAGAGTTTTTAAAAAGAGAGATTGTTTTCTGGTTTTTTTCTTCCTTGATATGCCCTTTACTGCAGACATTGCACCAACTAGTTGGGAATGAATAACCTGGTGGTATGAACGTCTTGGGAAAGGTTGCTAATGGAAATACGTTAACAGGTCACAATTTTATTTTTAATTTGTACAAAATTTAAGTTATTTTCTTTGAAATTTTCCTTTCTTGTTCCAGAGGTCCCCAGAGGAAGATTTGAAAAAATAAAAAAAATGTCCGTCAAAAGTGTGAGCTTGAAACATGCTCTCAACTTACAAATCAGTGGTAACTGCTCTTAAATCCACTATAAACAAGATACCTGAAATTTGCGTCCAGTTTTTATTTCAACTTGTAGCAAAGAGTAGAAAATATCTGTGTCGTTGAAACTTTTAGAAAAGCCAGATATCTAGAACATAATTTGTCATTCGAATATCATTTTGTTTTGTATTTCTTTAAACAGTTCAACCTAATTTTGTCATATGATGTGTCTAATGGAAGAAAGTGATGTAAATATTTTGGGTTTAATCAAAGGGCACAATTTTTGAATTTTATACGAATAATTCATAATTTTGAAACAGCTGGAAAACATCTCGGCCTCTCAAGGGGTAGTGAAGTCGGGGAAATTGAATTTTTTTGGCAACTTGAGTTAACGAATTGTGAATGTGATGTGATTGGAATTTTTTGTTTTGGGAAGTTGCAGATCTTGTTATACAGTAGTCTGGTTTCATTACTGTAATGCTCGACACACCTCACGCTAATTAGTAGATGGACGGATCGAGGCATAAAGAACATAACAAAAGGAATGATTCGCAATTCAGTGCATCCCCAACGTATATTCCCATAAGTTTACTTCCACCTTGGGGCCAACATTAGTCACCGCATAATGTTTTACTAACTACAGCACTTTGAAATATGGGTGGGCATGCTGCACTCTGTATCAATTGAGAAGATGGGTGGAGTTGCAAGGTGTAGTTTAATAACCCTTCAACAAATGGACTATCAAATCCCTTCGAAACATCGATAGACCAATAAGCCATTTGCTAGTTAAATTTGACCAAATTCAGCATTCCCCCGACTGAAGACACTCTTGCTATACCCTGTGATTCGGGGCAAGCTTTTGCATAGCGACCACCATCTGTGGAATGGACTGGTTCCTTTGTGCCCTTCTTATCCGTTGATAACAGTGTATTGTTGCAAGGTGTCTCTTATGTAACCAAACAAAGGCTTGCCCCGAATCACAAGGTATAGCAACAGTGTTTTTAGTATGGAGAATTCAAATTATGTTCACATGAATTTAAGGAACTCGGTGTACCAGATTTTATTCAAATTTAACTCGCAAAAGGCTTGTTGTGCCCATTAAGTCATGTGACCCATAGTGGATATCGAACAGCAACAAACGTGACATCCTCTCCCAGCAAAGTGTGTCACAAGTTTCATTTATCAAAAATCAAGCGAAAAGGTACTCCGACTACAGAATGTACTTAGTACCTTATTGAAAATCTGCACTATATTTGGTAATCAACACTTGAGACACTTTGCTGTGACAGGATGTCATGGTTGTTGTATTTGATACCTACTCTAGGTTGCATGATTTAGCAGGCGTAATTGGTCTGTTCACTTGTGTGGAATGCTTTAGAGGGAGGGTTGAAGTGCCGACAAGGTAGCAGACTCACATGGTGTTTTTCCATTAATTTGAGCCTCCCAGAGTATTGCACATTGCACCTGCGGAGCACTGAAGTGTGACGCCAGTTGCCATGCTGGTTCTAGGCATTCAATAGTTGGCTGAAACGTTACCTGCGAAAAGCACGGGGACTTCCTATACACTTTGGGGTTGTTTCCATATGTCACAACCAAGTACAAAAGCAATGAAACAAAAAATGAGTAACTTTGGTATTGAATCATTACCTTGGCAATAGACAAAACATGGCGTAATAACTTCGGCTTTCCACTTGCCATTATGGGGGATTTCCAAGTGTGTGGTGTTTCCTTGGCAGAGTGTTTATCCGTGGGTAACACTTCCATGCTCATAAGCTTGCAGTTTTGGTACAAGTCTTGGCAGCCAAGTTCTGTGTTTCAAAAGTTACGTGTTGCTGTAGGTCAAAAGGAAATTAGTTTCTAAAAACAAAAAAAGAGTTCTTGCAACATTTGTTTGAAAGTAAAAGTGAAATGAAAACAAGCTGAAACACTCCAAGCCTTCTTTTGAGGCCCAAACTTTTCATGAACAAGTCAATTGGAAAACCCTGATTGAAAGCTCCATCATTTGCTTTCTGTGTATCAGTGAGATCAGAAAGTCTACCTGCTGTGGAATTGTGAAATTCATAAAGGTTTGGAATATGATGCAATTCCACTCAAGAAATTTGTCCATTAAAAAAACACAGGTATGTAAGCTGTACTATAAAGAATAAATGCTGTGACCAAACTATAACATTTTTACAGGGTAGTCGAGGCATATGTGTATTTCTATTAAAAAGAGATAGCGTTGAAAAGGTACAAAAAGAGCTGTTTATTTGCCGAATTTTAACGAGGCCTGCCAGTGATGGTGACAGGCAAGTTCTTTAAATACACATATTTACTGGTTTGTGTTTTTTTGCAGTTTGGCATTATTTATGAGTATGACTATCGTGCTGTAGATACGAATGGATCAGAGGATTGTATGACAAATGGATTGTTTTAAACCATTTCTGGTTCAAGTTCTTAGGAAGTATGAAGGGTGAAGTATCTTAGCTGAAATTATGAATGTTTCTGTGTTTCCTGTTTAAAGGTAATAATGTTAAGTGTAAAATTCATGGATGTTTTGTTGGTTCTGTTTACTGTTAACAAACACCAGTCTTTAGCGTGCACGGCTTACGGTAGAAAGGAGTTTTTGTGTGAAAACGAGAGAAAAATTCATGTTTAAATGTCTTTGATGAGATGGACGTAATGTGGTCATTAAAGTACTGAATGGGAGGGGGTTGATAAGTCTTGAACAGTGATTTTGAAGTTTGTACATGAACATGTAGGGTAATTAGCATGATGGGAAATGCTTCAGGGGATAGTGGGCAGAACTGCTCTTGACAAATTGATGCTTCCAGTTCTACAGAGACATTGGTGCACAGAGGTTAGGGTTGCAACCAGATTGTCATCAAAAGATGAAAAACTTTTTGGTGCCTGGGCATTGGTTCCAAGATGTACCGTACTGTATCTGTACTCACTGCCTGCACGCATGTAAATCTTAAATCAAGGTGCTGCAAGGATATACATGTAAGTGAAAGTAAACCTGTACTGAGGATTTACTGAACTTTCACTGCGGTACCTGTTGCATCCCAATGTGAGCTTTGGTCCCAACTACACTTGGGACAACCCCAACTAACAGCAGCACACGTACAGTCCAAAAGTATGAGCATGCAGCTGGACCAGTGATTCAGCACTCCACATTATATGTACATGTACCTGTACGTGTAGCTGGAATTACATGTATCTCTAGTGTAGTTGGGACTCGGGCCTAACATACATACTACATATAGTTAGGGGGTTGCGTACTTGTAAAAATGATTTGACTCTGAGATTCACATAAGCTGGTAAAAGGCAAAAACTCTGAGTCAAAAATGCCATGCCCAAACTTTGCTTTGAGAAAACGTGTTACCCATGTGTAATGGCTTTATTGACCAACGGACCTATGGTGTATTTTGATATATTTTAATTACAAATATAGAAAAATGAATGAACATGTAAAGTTAAACGTACATGTACATATTCTGTCCAACATGCATCTACATCAAACAAAAATAAAATCATAGTTTGATTATGAATTAGTACATATCTATACGGGCATTAGATTTGTGTTTGTGGGGCATGCATTTAACTTGTGTTTACCTTTGACATGCCTTCTGCTAGTAGGCTTTGAGAGTTGGTGAACTGAAGAAAAGAAAATTTTTAATGTATTGAATAATCTGGCTCTTGATACCTAAACATATGGTTGACTTTAAGAACAAATTTTGAACTTCCCACTTGATTTGTAGAATTGTTGACGGCAGTATCCTCTTCCAGTGAGCAAAGTTCCTTGTCGTGTCATTCCACTAAAGTGACGCTAATCTAGGTTTATCCCTTAATCAGGTATAATTTCTGGAGTCAGTCACTTTGAGAGAGATTTATTCAGGTTACATGTCGTTGCTTCATATAAACCAGGTGGTGGTGCACATTTGCATTGACCACATTGTCAGCTACAGAAGCTGCTTAAGTGTCTTGATAAAACTGAACACAGCAAAAAATGAAATAGGTCAGTGAAGTCTGTCCTGCAGATATGTGAACTTTGAACTCCATGCCTGTTTGGCGTTGGAACGAAAAGTGAATACCTCTCACATCACCCCTCTAAAGTTCGAGAAACACCGCATGTAAATCTGCCACTACAAGAATGTTTCCATACATTGTTCGAAACATATTTTGTGGTAAAAAAAAAGATTCAAGATTCACGGCATTCTGTTGTATGGAGGCAAAGTAACTCCAGCATGTCTTCATGTTTGATCAGACTGTCTCCAAAGACTGCCAGCTAACAGATCACAGTATCACAGGATATCTATCGTTTTACACTCGTCTTTGATTTTCTTCCAAGTGGTACTCTCTCAAGGTCTACATGTGCCATACAAGGAAAAATGATTTCACAGGAGGCTCTTATTTTCAGTACTGTTTGAGTTCAAGCTCCTGGATTTTTTAAAATGCATCACTGTATGTGGAGATGCTGAACTACGCTGGTTAAGTCGTTTTGCATTTCATCAGGTGCAACATTTGGTACTGTCATGCCTCAGCGGAGTCAGCTCTTCTTAAATGAACAAGAGCATTCTGCCTGTAAAACTAGCAGTTTAGGTCATCACAGCTTGAAGTGACACTTTCTTCCAGATTTCTCTAAAAGTGAGATAGCTCACAGTCCAAAAAATATTTCAAGCACACAGAGGTATACACTGTTTAAGCTTTCCCCCCAACATCAATGCCCAAATGTGATAAGTTTTCCATTGTTTTGTTCTTGTGAATATGTGTGGAACACTCAGAGTTTGTTGGGCCAACTGTAAATTTCATGTACAGGTATCTGTTCTTTGTTTGAATAAAGATGGTACTTCTCCAGCAACCGATAACTGAAATGTTTAATTTGAAGTGTACACATATTTAGCAAAGAGTACTATGAAATATATGTTAATTATGGATCCAGATTTAAAATCACTGTGTGCGAGTTTATATCCCTATTCAGTCGCAGACACTGAACCACAGAGAACAGTACATCCACCACTGGATGTAAATCAACGTTTTGTACTAATAATCATACCTCCAAAAAGTTAGTAGAGACAATAAAACAATTGCAGTGCACAACTGTAGGCATTTACACAATTGTGTTACTTTGTTTTACATACATGTGCATGTACTTTGGTTGGGCCTGATACCAAAAGATTACATAATGCGGGGATCCGACAATGTGTGGATGACGACAGGTCTGCACAGTATTTCCACATTTAATTTACAAGACAACTTTTCAGTCATTTTGGGGTCAAGGTTATCAGCTGCAAAAGGCAGAAGAAACAGTCCAAGAAATTGTAAAAGTTCCAGCTTCAAGGTGTGCTCACAGGAGAGAAATGCAACTTGCTCAAGAAATGCTGTCTTGTATACATATATGCAGGTATGTACATAGCTCTCCAACTGTTACAGAAATGCATGTAATGGTTGATCTTGTGAGACATCTCTGTGAGTGATAACTAAAAGTAAAATATTCACAGGTATTCCCTAAAGTTGTAAGAATCCATAAATATTACACATTTTGTTTACTACTTAAGATCAGCTTAACAGTTCTCAAATTGAAGGCTTGGTTAACCACTTCCTGCTGGGGACTCCGGATCCAGACACGTATGCTTTATATGTGTGGCCGGGGTCTCCGAACTCGAACAAAGGGAGCAGGGCCTTGTAACAAAAGACTGTACTCGGCACAAACGACCAGGCTGCTGGGCATTACCGATATTTTTTCACTCTCAAAAAGTGGAGATAATCCTGCCTTGTTTTGAAACAGTATACCATGGTTTGGGGCATTTAGAGCAAGCGGATTAACACCGCGGACAGGTCACATGATATTTCACTATTTTGTGGGGACTTAAAACGTTATGGGGACAGAAAAATGTCCCAACAACTTGGTCCTAATTTGCCTCACAAAAGAAATTGTCCCCTTAACCCTGTGAAGGCCTACCTCCTTTGACAAATGTCCGACGAATTTGAATGTCACGGTAGTTATAAATCTAGTCTGGAACCAAATTTGCTGACAGGTTTTTACTTCAAGTCACTTTTGAATTTAAATGTGCCCTATGCTAGTAGAGTTTAACGTGGGCTGAATCCAATATACTCACATGGTGATGAGTAAATAAAATGTGACCTCTGCCAGATATCATAGTTGAATTAAAAGCAGACATTTTGAGCCTTAATTCTAAATAGGAGGTTTCAAGACCGTCAGGATTAATAAACTTTTAAAAAGTGGGCATGTAAATGTAATTTGCTAATGAAGGCATTTTGCACAAAAAAATTTCTTTCCATTGTTGAATGTAATATAATGGAGAATGTATTGAAAGTAGAATGCATGGACGACTGGTCAAGCAGTCGGGCCTTGCAGCTGATGTGTTGCAATGATACAAAACGTTCCTTTGTTTCACAAACGTTTTTGTCTTGCACCCCTCGTCTTGGCTCCAATCCCACCCCCTCGCATTTTCAGAGTGATGTTGGACCTCAGTGACCTCATTTGCTCTCCTGGGGAATCTCCATGCTCTTTGGAGGTTGACCTTTGATCTTTAGGAGCTGACTTATGACCCCCTACAGGTGATGGCCTTTTACCCCTGGTCTTTGATGCCCAACTCTGGCCTCTTGTTGATGCTGACTGTAGACATCTTGATTTCGGCACAGAGCTCTGGCCTTCTTGGTGCGGTGACCCCTGACCTTGGGGAGGTACCCTGTGACCTCGGGAAGGTGATGAATCTTGTTTTGGAGTTCTTGAACTCGCTTCCAGGATACCATCCCCTTTGGCTGATGGACCTGCATGTGCATGAATATAATTGAAGGTTTGCAAACATGTGCATCACACAAATATCTTTGTGAATGATTACAATGGATGTGAAGGGTTCACCTTTTGCAGAAAGCTGTAGTAAGCTTTTCACTGCTTGCAAATAAATTCTGCACTTAGAGAGATCACTCTATCTTCTCAGAAAAAGCCCATTTTAGACGGCAGAATACGCAGGAATACATTAGGAATGTGGAGTACATTTTTTCTCACCCTGTTATGCACATTACTGCTCCATGTTAAGAGGTTTGCAACACACACAGAAACACTCTTGTAACTTTACTGTCTTGTAGTTTTAACTTGAGCTTTCACACACTGATTCATCATGTTAGGCAAAAAAAATTTGAAAATTAGGTTTTTCATTTGCAGTATGCAAAAAGTAGTGTAAGTGCTTTAACCATGTCCTACCAGAGAGCCCGGTTTTGGGTACCTTGGGTTTGTATGCATAGCAGGGGTGCCCGAAATCGGGCAAAAGATTACACCACTGTCTGTGGCATTCAGCGCAACGAAAGCGCTCCAGCACTCCAGTGATGAGTGATAAAATACCGCTGCACACTAATCTGGCCTGTATTGAAAAGACGCCAGCAGCGCACTATGCCAGTTTCAGGAACAAATGAAACTTATGTAACACCACACAATCTGGGCTCTTTTTACATGGTGGCAGGCCTAGCTGAAATACTCTGGCATCAATAGATGTTGTCTGTCAAATTAGAGTAGCCACCAGACAGTCACTCCAAGGGGATTAGGCGTTCAGGAAAAATAGATAAGAAATTTCACAGATTTTTGAAAACCAAAGATATTGGAAAATCACCTGTATGTAGGCACTGTATTTAAAAGCACCCGGCAGGGGATGGTTAAGGAAACTTTTGACTTTGATGGGTTTGATGAAGAGTTCTTACAACAGTATGCTCTTTAAGAATTTCGCCAGCTTTTTCCATGACATATCACTGTACGTGTGGGACAAGTTAAGGGCTTTTTTCAATTATGTACATACCTGTATCTATACACAACCACCATACTCACCCTCATTCCCAGAGTTTCTTGCAACAGAGGCTTCTACAGCAGTACTGTCCTGCTTTTTTGCAGGTGTTCCAGGCACGCTGTTTGTTTCGTCCTTGGTGCTTTTTCTGGGCACTCTGCCTTGTTGAGCTATGTCATCTTCTTTGGTGAGCTCCTTATTGCAAGCAGCTACATCCTTAGCCTTATCTGAGCTTCTCAACCTTTTCTTTGGGGTGGCATCTTGAAATCCATCTCTCTTTTGACCGGTTGAATTATCTGATATTGATCTCCTCCTTTTCTTTGGTGTGTCTGTACTCCTTACTGTCTGCTTGTCCATATGATGCTCCTTGGAAGCTTTCTGGTTGGATTCTGGGGGTGGTGGTCCCTTGGTTGTTTCTCCTTGTGGGGACAAAGTAGAGTGTGTTTGAGGAGCTTTTCTTGGACATTTTGCCTCCTTCTCAGGAGTCTTGGAATTAGGGCTTGGCTGTTCGCTTGGTCTATTAGATGATTTGTTTTGCTTTTGTTTTGAGTTAGTAACTGCTTTCTTCGGCCTCCCTCTACCGCGTGCTGATCCTCCAGCAGCAGAGGAGGATTTGGTTGCCTTGAATCTGTCAGAATTGGTGTCAGTGGATGATTGTTTTCTTTTATGCCTTTTGCCCTTCTTTGCCTTGGTCAAGTCTCCTTCAACATTACCATCTTCCTCACTGTTGATGATTTCTTGCTCTGTGGTGCGTGTAATACCTGCCTGCACTTTTTTAATGCTCTTTAGCAACTGCGATCGTCTTGACATGGCTGCATTCTTTTCGGGCTGTGATTTGCGTTTTTTCACACCGTGTGGAGTCCAGGTTTCATCATCCGAGTTCTCATCCTGCTCGGAGGTTTCTGTGTTGGAGGACTGATGGGTTGCCCTCCCCTTGCCTTTCCGTCCAGGGAGACCTTTGCTCTTCGTGACCTTGGACTTGGCTGTCGATGGACCAGGGATGGATGGTGATTGTGCTGTCTGTTGGCGGTGACGTCTTGATCTTGTTTCCTTAAAATTAAAGAAAATGGCTTTATAAACAGATGTTTTGACCCCCCAACCCCTAAAAAATTGAAGAACGAGCTGGAAAAAGGGTTCTTTTGCAGATTACTCAGTGAGAGTTGTCCAGTGCCATACCCTCTCACCTAAACATTGGCGTAAGTGGGTTACTTCACTTTGATTTTTGTTTGACCAAGTTGGATGCCTGTTTCATAATGTCACTGAAATACCCAAACCTGACTCTTATCTGCCACTCACACAGTGCCCCCAGAGTCTTTACATAGTGCCAGTAGCTAGCTTGGGATTCCTGTATGGTATGTATAATTGCCTATAACAAGACCCTTACAGTGAGTGTTTTCAGTACAACAGTTGCCAAGACTTGACAACGATGTTAATACCTTCGACCTTTAAAACCAACTTTAATACCTCAAGGCCTCACGTATATACCAGACACAGGTGCAGTACACTATTCTGTGTTTCACTCGCACTTGTGTAATACCGAATATTACAAATATTCTCCTGTGCAGTGTACCTAACTGCTAATTTAAAGATCAGAAATAATGAAGGAAATAAACTTGTAAGCGCTCATAGTTACATTTGTAACTGTGGAATAGGAGCGAGCTTTGATCTGGGATATTTTTAAGCTCCGATCCTCAGTTTCTGAATCACTGGCATTGGATGTCTGGTTGACTTCATGGCTTGCTTCAAAATCTGCTTCCAGTTTTTCGAATCTGCAATCAACAGGTGACAGAAATGCTTGAAACTATAAATTGTAAATTTTCCATACGTAGAGCAAACACTGGTTGCTGGGTTACCCAACAGTATCAGCTTTCATCAAGGCTCTGTTTCAAATCTCAAATCCAAGCTTCCAATATGACACCACCATGCTAACGATTATAAAATACACGCACAGAATCATTATAATACTGAGCAATGTTGCAGTTGAGACCGTCACAAGGCCATTCGGAAGAGCAGTCACACTGTAACATAGTGAAAACTGACAAAAGAATGCTTCTGTTGCGGTTCATTTGAACAACCCGTGACTTGAATTCATACCGGAGGTCCTGTGTTGATTTTGTGATGGTCTTATGATGGCATTAAGGCATCTTGACTGACCAAATTGTTCTACTTCAATAAGCGCTGAACATCACCATATAGGTGGCAGAGACCTGAAAATGAACGCTGGCAGATGTATATGCATTCTCTTACCTAACCTATTTGAGGACAAAGTGCAACTACACATACGCATGACTAATAGTCTCACAAGACTTTTGCAATTTTCACAAGAAATTATTGCCAAATTTTAATAGACTAGCTCTCCAAGTGTAATAACTTCTACTTCTTCGCGTGTTTTGTTTTGCTGTTTTTTGAACCACAAGTACTGTAAACAAAGTTTGGGATGAAACGGTATGACTAAGATAATCTATGCATCCACAGCCCACTTGCCTCTTAACGATATATTCTGTGATGGATTCCCGCACAATCATCAAGGAGGTGTTGTCATGGAGACTCAGTTTCAACTTTGTGTTCTGGTACTGCTCATGTAGTCCATGGTGCAACTAGCACAAATGACAAACACCAAACGAAAAAAAGAAGATGATATCAATATGTTGTGCATAGCTCACGTATCAGACGATGCAGTTGGAGGTTTCTAGCATGCTGGAAATGCTGTTTTTGTTTGTTCCTAGTTTGGATCTTCATTTGATTCGCCAAAACAGCATTACCTATTCATCTGAATGACATTCAGATGACATTGTTGTGCATAAATTCAACATGTAGTAGTAATTGCGCCCATGCATCCACCGGGACTCTACAGACGAGCACCCTAAAAGCAAGCTATGAACTGGCATTTCATTGGCATACTTACAAGAATTTACAAATTTGTGGATAGATTACCATCAATTTGAGAAAAAAGAATATTCAAAAACATAGCCTACAAATAGGGATGTGGGTGTATTACAACTACTGCACATGCAGCATCTGCTGACACTAGCAGTGTTGGTCACTATGCTGTATCATCATATCGTCTGGTCATTATGCAGATCCCTCCCCTAACAATCCAGGGACCATTTCTGATCTCCAGGGAGTACACAGCTCTATGCTGCCATTTCAGCACAAACAGCTACAAGTAAATGTAATGTAATCGAAATACAGCCACAGCATGACTGGAGATAAGCAATGAGTGATGGACTATGCAGATGCTGCATGATGTCGATTAAAACTGAAAAAAATGAACAAATGAGCAAGTGATATAAGCAAATGGATAACTCAACAATGGAATACAAAAATGAACGCACAAACAGAAAATAAGACAATCCCCAACAATCCTAGCAAACAAAAAGAAATGAAAAAAAAGAAGACCTCCACATACAGTGTTCAAGCTGAAAATCTGGCTGCAAACATCTTTGTTGTCCCTTTAGGTGTGATGCATTGAAAATAGGATGTTTAAAATTGTAGATTTTCATGTGCATGTACATCTATGAAGTCAAACAAAATTGGTAATGAAGACTTTCCAAGGTTTCACACATTTTAAAGACATACATGTATTCTGTATACATGTACACTTGTTTTTAAAGCCTGAAGCCCTATGCCCCCTGTATCTTAACTCAGTGTTGGAATGCTAGCTCTTCTGGGTGTGCCTGTTATTTTCCTGTTCCTATCCTCTAAGACCAAGAAATCTGTGGTCTGTGCTTGGTTGCTGTAAATAAGGGTTTCAAGGTCTTTACAAAGTGAAAGTTGGAACAGCTAGCCTACCCCCAAACTAATCACACTTACAAAGTGCAACTGCCATATGCACTTTAATACTTAGGACACTAGTCACAGTGTAAAAACCCACCTCCCAATCGCTACTAAAATTAACATAAGTTTACCGATAAAAAGTTGAAAAACAATTTAGGCTCCAAGATGTCAATGACTTATTTAATGACAAACTTCCCCTCCCATGTACGTTTTGGACCGCAGCTGTACATCTATTATATTTATTCCTTTATTCCATCTCTTTATCCAGGGTATGCCCAAACAGTAAAAAACTAGTTTCCACTGGGACCCTTCAACTACCGATACAACACAAATTGTTAAACAGTCTTAAGTCAAAATTAATGAGGAAATGTAGATTGTTGAAAAACTTAAAAAGAGACGATAATCTAACATTATTATCAAATATGAGCGTCTCAGAAAGTTTAAAAACAAAACCATATACACATCAAATTTTTCAACCACCTTGGGAATCAAGAGAGGATGAGGTGGCACGGATTAGTATTTTGGTGTTAGAGTAATAGTATTATCATGTATTAACTGTAATACCTTTAAAATACCCCATAGACTCAAGATAGTGATTGACTTATTACAAGCTCATAAATTGATCTGGTAAGAATATATTGCATATTGCCCCCCCCACAAAGGGATGCACGCCTGTGCACACTGCATTCCTGAATCCACATGTCAGGAACCTTGAATCTTTTCCAATAATTTTTATTGTTTATTACATTAACACTGGATTTGGATAAATTCCATGTAGTCCGCACCAGATCTCTTCAGGAATGTGTGCAAACAAGACAAAAATGAAAGTAGTTTGACCTGAGAGAATGAAAGTCTCTCAAGAAACAGTTTGTTTATGTCTTCACCGACAGCTTTATTTAGCCCCTGCTCTTAGTATGTGAGTTTTAAATGAAAAATGAAACAATTGAACCAATAAACAATAAATCAGCTGACATCTAACCAATGCCTATTCTTCTCAGTCAACAAGACATCAAGCTTACACATTTACACATGTGCATCTGGTACGCGAAACTATTTCACTTCTCAATTACATGTATGGTGAGTGGAAAGCATTGGACTTCTACCAAAGGTCTTTGATGTGTCTTTGACACTAAATGAATGTGTAGCTCTGTACATGTACTAACATAATCCATGACTTGGCTTCACAGTCAGTGGTGTGGGGGGGAGGGGACACAGGGGAGTTGCTCCCCTGTGGGAACTCCAGACTCCTTCTGCTCCCTCCACCTTGGAAAATTGGGATTTTTTGGGAGGGGGGGGTTGTCGCTGCACCATCTACAAATGTTACTTTAGTGTAGATATCGACCTACATACATTTAGCATGGTTAGTGAAAAAGCTGTCCATTATACAAAGTCAGTGGCGGGAAACCAAGGGGGGCAACTGCCCCCTACCCCTGTGGGAACTGTTGCTTTCTCTTGTTCCCCCTCTGAGAAAAGCCTGGCTAGGCCACTGTACACAGTACTAAAAACAATTTGGAAACCTTTAAACTTGGGTAATTCTATGTGGCTAATTGTTCAGTAAATTTCAAATTGTCTCCTGCCCACACACTTCTGAAAAAGGACCATGTAACATAAGACATATGGGAGAGGGTGATGGGGAAGCAGTCATCATGTGGGTAACTAACTGATCATACGAAAATTTTGTTTAGTAAGATTTTGGACCCCAAACATTCCAGTAAATGGCATCTTGTTTCCATCCACCTGTATTCTCCATTCCTGAGATATACAGTAGATAAACTCAACATTTAAAAATTTAATTTGTTAATTGTAAACCTACAAACAGTACCGGTAGTTGTTATACCCCTGCATAACAGAAACTAACATGTGATTAAACCAGATGCACTGGCAAAAACATGTTGCAGTACTACCGAGGGATAAAACTGTCAGGAGAAAGATTCTGTTAACATGGTACAAAAGAATCATGTATTAAAAAGGACACAACAGATCACCCCCAAGAAAATATTCAACATCTTAACTACCAGACAGTGAATCACCTGTGCATGAGTTTTTGATACCACCTCAGCTCTGAACCTGTTAGAACTGCAGGGCTATGTTTACACACATCTTTAGATCAAGTAGGAAATAAGGCCGTGTCAAAACACTGGTGTTATGACTGCGCTGACCCCAAGTTGACTGGCAACTTCTGGTTTGGGGTGTTCCCGATTTCTAAACTCAGGAAATATGTGCTGCATTTGCCAACTTTGTGAATACCTTAAATCTGACCACAACTTGGAGATTAGCCAAAGGCTACAAACCCCCAAAATAACAACCTGTACAGCTCAGCAACAAGACCTGAACCTGGCAAGTTATTGAAAATCTTTATGAAACAATATAATGTACAATATATATGTACATATACATACCCATTATGGTGGAAACAGTAAAGAAAAAAGTCAACGCAAATTACAGTTTCCCATATTATGACGAATGTCAGTTTTGTTTCAATCTAAACTAATCTTTGACTAAAATCTCTTATTTTACAACTTTAAAAACATTTACCATAATACATGTACTATTGTTTTAGTTCCATCCTCTGACCCACGGTTTCTTTCCAAATGACTTTAAATACTCTCCGATACAGATCATGTCGCCAGCTCTTTTCTGGCGGTCAAAAATGAAGGGCTCTGAGGGTGATATTATAAGGACATTTTCTTCAAACTTTCTCAACCACTTGAGCCACTTTAAATTTGCAGTCAAGATAGATGAACACATTGTTTTCAGCTTAGTCATTCTGTACGCTGTTGCCAATGTACACAGGCTGCTTCATCTTGGCCTGATTCATTAATTTTGCAGCCACCACCAGATTCCTTTCCATCCTGTTTTCCCTTTTGCAAAAGTTCCAACCTTGAGAGACAGCTGGGAAGAGCTGGCCCAAGCCTGTCACCCCTTCTTGGCAAGGGCAGGGATAATTGACAGAGGTGAGGGTAAATCTGTTCACTTGTCAAGCCCAATCAATCACCGGCCACTTATGCTGGGTATAAAAAACAGGGTTCAGAATCCCTTGAGCATTTACAGAATTGTTTGGCCTTGTGAAACAAGTGACTGAATTTGACTGATTGAACAGTTAACTTTTCTGCAGGTGCAAGTGTCAAACTTGTGTTTCTGGGTGAGAGATCCTGCTTGGGTACTGGAGAAGAGGCATCATCTTCCAAGTGGTATGTTAATTCAATGTTTTTTGTGATGTTGTTTTGTTGATACAAAATGTCAAATGCACTGCATTGCATGAAGCCGCTCATACACTTGCAAACTTGTAGGCCTACATGTAAAATGACACTAAGCTACCGGTACGGTCCCTGTAGGCTGTCTATGCATAAACCAAAGATCACTGATATGACAAAAAACATGATGATGTAAGGTCTGCTTTGGAATGTTCTAAATGCACCATGGTGAAATGGACTTAAAAAGGGTCACAAACTTAAGAATTACCAACTTCGATTTGTGTCATTCATGTTCAATGTACTTGTTAATGTATTCAAGTGGCTTTCAACTGGCTTTTAAAAATTGTAAGGTTTCAATTTGTCTGGAATGAAGTAAATTCAATCTGGCAGATTGTTGACACAACCCAAGTGTTCACACAACCCTCCCCATACATGTACATCTGCTCCTGAATGAATTCCCTGTCTGGCAGCTTGTTACCAAGACAGCGGGATATCAACTACACAGTTGAATATAAGATGCACAGATTAGAAGCTGTGCTAGCATGCTGTACACAACAAGCTCGGAAGTGACCTAGGACTGAACTTTTACAAACTTTAGAGCAGTCTCCATGGTATTCCATACTTTGTTTTATGTAATCAGATATATGATCAAATGATTGCGATAAAATAAGTATGCCCACAGTGTAGGCATATGGTTTCTACACATAAAATAGTATATGTGTAGTATATATATATATGTGTAGTATACCATACTATAGTATATAGTATATATAATAGTGTATAAATCAGATATATGATCAAATGATTGCGATAAAATAAGTATGCCCACAGTGTAGGCGTATGGTTTCTACACATAAAATAGTATATGTGTATATATATATATGTGTAGAATAGTATATAGTATATATAATAGTGTATAAATCAGATATATGATCAAATGATTGCGATAATATAAGTATGCCCACAGTGTAGGCGTATGGATTCTACACATAAAATAGTCACTGATATAGCCACACACAAATTATCATGCACGGTTTTGCGTGCCTTACCCAGTATCAAAACAAAAGTATCAATGATGGTCAAGGCCAACAAAAAAACCCAGACTGATGTTCCAGAATTGATGTGGCGATGTGGCTTTTTTCCGCTAGGGTTGGATTGTTGAGTCATGGGACTAGACCAGCTTTATTATGATTATAAGCTGACAATAAACAACTTCGTAATCATAGTCTGCTATTATTGTTCAACATCGATCTTGTCAGGATCTATAGCCCTGAGTAAATGATTGAGCTGCCTGCAAAAATATCCAGGCAGTGCAGAAACAGAGGGCGCTGTTGCAGCTCTCGCAGAGAAAACAAAAGATTGATGTACATGCTTGAAATTGACGCATGCTGACCAGAGATGAAAGACTTTTTAGGGGGCTAACTGCTAAGAAGAGTTGTAACTTGAGTACCAACAAAGTGTAGCTGCTGTGTCCCTTTTTTACCCTCGCTCCCAACATAATGTTCTGCAGTTTTAGCTAAATTATACTCAACAGTCGAGGTACATGCATCTTCATAAATCTCACAAAATAGTTTGGAAACTCTTGATGGATTTAAAGAATCTGGTGGAGTTTGAGTTAATTTACCTGAAATGTCAGAAATGGGGGCTCAACAAAACAAAACAAACCAAAAATTGACAAGAGAAAAATCCAAACTAGAAAGGATTGCAAAAAACTGGGAGCAGTTTTTAAGCAATGAAAAACTTCAAGAGAATGTTGTACTCTACTATTAAAGTTTGGACTGCAACATATCACATAAACCTCAAATACATGTACTAATAGCTATAATGTCCAAACTGAAACACAAAGGTACATGTATGCCAACAAATTGCAGCGCATAAGAACAAAATTCTCCTGCTTAGAAACCATCATGGCACCCTGCCAATTTGAGTTGAAGGACTTGTCCTGTTGTAAATATATTTCCAGAGACTGAGCTGTCATTCATGATGTCTGTGTGCAGATGACATAATAGAACTATGGAGAAATGTACACGAATACATGTCGTGAACATGTATGTGCATACACATTTGGAAAGCAGAGTAAATATTAACTGGCAATATCTTGCCATGTCAAATGTATGCCGGTTAACAGGTGTAGACCACCTGTGATTTTAGGAGGTTGAAAACGATTCTTCTGTTACATTTTATGAAAGGTAACAATTTGTGAAGAACTGATTCTTAGGAATTCCAATTTTTATCTGTTCTGAAGTATGACATTAAGCGAAATGTTCTCACTCACTAAAGACATTTTTGGTTTGGGGATTACTGCAGAGGGCCAGCCTTGTGCCTCCAGATCTTACTGATGACAATCACATGCAGGGTATTTGTAGCTCACCATAAAATGACTTGCAAGCTGCCAGAGCCACTTTTGAGTTGATGACCTCTGGAGGAATCTTGCCCAAGGCAAATCTGCAGGAACCCACAATACTGAACCGACATCAAAACAACTCAGTTTGCTCTTTTTCAAGTGCAATCTGAAACAACACTACTGAAAAAAAAACCCTATTTAGTGGGATCTACATGTACAGTTTGCATTTCATCAATGGGCTTGGACTTTCAAGGATTTCCAAGAGTTCCTTCAGGCCTACGTTAAGTATCCCTTTCCTGGTAAAAAAGAGAAAGGCTGATGATGAACTCTTGCAACTGCACCTGCAGCATTCATGCAAAGACTATTGCTTCCAATGAAAACTGTGCATACTCTGCACCAAATATCATATGTACGAGCAAGCATCTGTAAGGTAACACAGTGTGTCGCTGCATTGAGATGTTGCTGGGTTATGGACATGTATGTACATCCCACGTTTGCAACAACTACCATAGTGCTTACTTTCAGAAACTAGTGGCTTTAATTGCTTCATTAATAACTTGTCACAAAAGATTTCTTTTTGTCAGAGTTGAGGATGAATAAAAAAACATCCAGTATGCTGCCGACATTGCGACACCAGTGGGTCTCCCTAGCTATTCTCTTCAGTATTGTGACTCTTCCCTTCAAGCAAAGCTTGGCTCAGGACCAAGACACAGTTACCACAGCTAAAACTCAAGAACCCCAGGCACCCCCATCAATGTGCCAGTACATGCTACGGGGCGAACCAGGCCAACCTGGGCCCCCAGGTTTACCAGGTATTCAGGGACCTGCTGGTATGCCAGGTGAGAAAAAATTATCAATATGCAATTCAGTTGTTTTCCCTTTAAAAGAATTCCTCCATGGCCACGGCCCATTAAGTACGGCTTTTTTGGAAGGAAAAATATTCAACAAGAAATTAACCTGCGATCACACACATCTGGCTCCATGGCTAACCCACTGTGCCATGTGCATGTTTTTATATAGACACTCATTTCTACTGAAGGGGAAATTGGGCAGTTACTGACGTTTTGGTATTACTTCAATGCCAGTGTTTTATTTTGTTATTACAAAGGCAAATATGTATGTTGGGCATGATCGGTCGATCAGCACAGTTAGATTGCATTCAGCCGATCCTATACATACATGTATGTGAAATCTTCATCTTTACCTCCCCTTTTAAACAAATCTTCAAAAACTGCAAACTAATAAGGAAAATGCAATTGGCTGATAGTGACATTTCATTATCAACAAATCACACAATAGACTGAGAGATGTTTGCTAATGTTTTGCCTCCTTGCCTTGATGAAAGAATATATTAACCTCAAATTTCAGTGAAATTTCATCAAGCTTTCAACATTCCTATTAAAAAAATGAGTTTACGTATCTGCTGAAAGTTCTAATAAAATTGTACTTTGGCCTGATTTTTCTGTTTTCTTTTTTCATAATTACTGCATACTTTAAAAGTCTTTAATGTGGTCCAACCTAGTGAAATTTGTTGAAATGCTACTTTTGAGTTAAAAGCCTTTAAGCAGCCTTGCATTGCGAAAAAAAATTACCAGTGGTCAGACTACAATCAGGATTACCTTTTGATTACACATTTTTACAGCCAGAGCTGTATATACAGGTAGAAAGATTAGTGCCAACATCAGACTTTTGAACCAAAATGGCTGTTCATTAAGTGCGCAATACAGCATGCAGCTACTGCGTGCTAATTGTCCATAAGCTGTGATGGATAAGCCACCATTTTGGTTCCAACAATCGAGACGCTCATGTGGTAACTCTCTCTATAAATAGCTTTTCTACAGCATGATGATCTGAAATGTTTTGGTTGTCCTGAAAAACATGAGTGGTGTTACCCAAACCAAGAAAGAACAGGTTTGTCCGTGTGCCAAAAACTCTGTGTTCATTCCCATATTGTTAGCACTTCACATCTTTACTACATGTACGTAGCACTGCTGGGGTTGATGGAAAGTCCACTGTTTTTAGGTTGTGAAAAATATGGTGACTGTTGTCCTATTCTGTGCACAGGGAACCATGGAAATAATGGTAACAATGGGCTGACAGGCCCGCACGGACCAAAAGGGGACATTGGACCACAAGGCCTGCCTGGCATTCAGGGTTACCCAGGCCCCCCAGGACCTCAGGGTCCCTCTGGAAAGGCAGGTGTCTCCGGCCAGCCTGGCAGCTCTGGGAGTTCCGGAGCCCGGGGGCCACGTGGGCCACCGGGAGAAAGAGGCCCCAAAGGACAGAAAGGCGACAGTGCATCGGTCGTCCAGTCCTCGAGACACATGCTGCCCAGAACGGGTCGGAGAAAAATTGCATTCTCTGTTGCCTCGTCCAACACAATGACAGCACCTGCCGAGGACTCCATCGTTCAGTTTGACCACATCTTCACACGGCATGGGACTGAATTTGACCCTGACACAGGCAAATTCACTTGTCAGGTAAATGGCACATACTACTTCATCATCCATGCCAACAAGTGGACAAACTCCCGCAATCTGCACATTAAGCTCATGAAAAACGGCTCCCTGATGACAGCTCTGTATGAAGATGCAGGCTACGATTATTACGATGCAGCAACTAACAGCATCCTTCTGGATCTCAAGCAAGGGGATAAGGTTTGGCTTCAGCTGCACAGCAACAGTGAGGTCTACAGTGGACTGACAAGAATGACTACATTTTCTGGTTGGCTTGTCTTTGAAGATTAAACAATGAATAGGACAGTTCATGGAGCATGCACAAAACAAAGTCACAATTGACAAACTCAATGAATGGTTAAATCTTCGCATGTTAAACCCTGAACAAAATATGTACGACAAGACTTTGCTCCTAAACATAGAATTACTTACATGGGTTCTTGGCAAAGAGCAGTGTGACGTGTGAATGTAGAACTTGATTGTGAATTCACATCGTAAACTCGGTGAAACGTTTACATGTTTTGACAGAGATTCCCTTGAGAAATTTACGAACACTTTACGTGGCAGTGCAGTGCACATTTCCATGAAAGTGAAAGCTGCAAAAACTGTCCGGTTACAAGCAAGTGCACCACAAACAAAGTTGTATCTGCGACTCCAGGACACTACATTTCATGTTGGAGTTACAGATATATGAAATAACAACTCCTTAGCGTAGAGTTTAAACCTGCTCCTATAAAATAACTTCAAAACTGAAAGTGACTTTCAGCCCATGAAATGAGACTGATCTTTTATAAAACAAAACCCAACCGGCCAAACAAACACAGAAAAAGCCAAAACGAAAAAACAAATGAAAACAGAGAAAAATGCACAAGGTGTGTTTGTTAATATACTTTTACATGTAAATATGTTAGTGCTTTCCGAATTCAATACTGGTGCTTTTTTTTTTGTAATAACTGAAGAGTCATTATCAAGGTTCAAGCTCAAGTAGAAAGATACAGCTTGCTTAAGTACACTTTTTGGTTGGAAATAATCCATAGTTGGAGACATGTGCATACACATACAGAGTCACTGAACAATATTGTGTGTTGTACCATTAGAGGTGGAATATTTCTGTATTTCATACTGATCTTCAATTAGGTTGCATTTTTGCTACAATAAACTGCAGCTGTTTGTGCATGGTACACTGACCTAATTATGTATTTCTTGGATTCCAAAAGTATCTAGGATTTTTTCTGACTTTTGTGCCCTGTGAAAAAGGATGATAAATGTCACAGTAGCACACAGAGCATATTATACACTAATCTGGTGGTTAGAAGTAGAAGGCAGCACGTTTGGGTTAAATGCCTCTTGAGCCAGTAGATAGACCAATCCAGTTAACCCTATCAATGGCCAGCACTGACAATCAACATACTGTGCTTCTCTTGCCAGACTTTTGCGTACGCCACTCCCACTTTTTTGTTCACCAGTGCATCAGTATCGAGAAAAAGTACACAAATATAACATAGTTTGAGGGTTGGATAGTCGATAGTAGCTTCCCTTGGTACTAAAAGTTGACAAACTAGTTACCCAGGCATCACACTGCATACTGGAAAAGATCTTTCCTGTCACACCTACATGAATAATACAACCCTTCCTCACTTTATGGACTTGTCTGTACATGTAATGATGAAGCATAGGGTTCAACACAAGCTCACCTCCAGTGTGTTGTCGTCAAAGCACTCCGTCATGAGACTGTGCCTGTGACGTTCAAGCCATCGCTCAGTGGGATTCTGATCGGACTTTCCTTCCATGTAAGAGGCATGGAAGATCATCTGCAGGCAGTGAATTTCCATTTAAAAATTGATAAAGGATTCACTCTATGCATAACCATACAATTGGTCAAAAACATTGAAACAAACAAACAAAAACATAAAAATGAAGCATGAGGTAAGTTTCTTGCAGTCCACCCCTTGACGGGCTTTATAAGATGTAAACCTCTCTCAAAGCCATAATTTGCATACATGCACATGTAGGGGTGGTAGGCAAACCGTTGCTGGCTGTCATTATTTTAAGAACAACAAATCATAGAGTACAAGAAAATCTCACCCAGCTATTAAATTACTATTTAATATTCAAAATGCAAAATGAAATTACCTATTCAAATATTACCTGTACATCAAAACCATTTACATGTGTTTGAGTTGCACATACATGTAAACACAAATGAATATAAAGCTCTCTTGAATGATGGCCACTGTTATTCAGAGAAAGTAGTCTGTCTTAAATTATGCATACCCCAACCCTCTAAACTTGTTGTCACCTTGAGCAAAAAACATGCTGATAAATGGATATCAAATCGGCCCCCTACATGCACTTAAGAAAAGGTCACCATTTTCAACACCTGCAACAAAGTTCCCCTCACACACAAACGATTCATCCCACTTGGAAAGCAGTTGTTTTGCCTACCTTTTTTGGCATGGCAGTAAACATGAATGCCTTGCTAACTGTCATTTTGTGGAACACATACAGGGTGTCAAGATGTCCCTGACTTTGTAAGGTGTCAACGAGTGATGCTACACTCTTCCACTGGTCTAGGGAAATGCGGATCTGCCAAAAAATTTTTTGAATGGTAAAAAATTTGTAAATATTGGTATCTGACCCTACGTTAATGTGAAATACAGTGGTTTGTAGTTGTTGGACTGCCAGTCCAATCAAATTGACACAGTCATAGGCACATGTAGTCTGCAGTATTTACACAGAACAGCGAGACTTCATAAACTGAAAAGCAGTCCATTAGGCTATCCAAGGTCACAGTTGTGCCCATTTAAAGAGACACATGGTAACAAAAAGTGTTACTTTGCATGATCATAACACCTTCAAAGCAGATACCTGTTCAAGGTGGAAATCACATCACTAGCTTTCCACAATAACAATAATGCTTTGATAGGAAGAAATGGAGATAGTCCCACTCTTACTTCAACAGCCTTCCAGCCAGTATGTGATGTCAGAACAAATGAGACTGCTTATTGGTCAGAACACAGAATTTCAGCACAGTAAAATTGCTCAGGTTTCATAATGCAGCAGTTTATAAAATTACCATCTACAATTTGCCCATAAATGTGAACAGTCCCGTAAAAGCTCTACATTTTTCAATGCAGGGAATTCTATTCCCTAGAGCCCATGGTAAGCAAACCCTTTCCTCAAACATAAGAACCACAGTTTACTTGTCTTGTAATGATAACGCCATACAGTACCTTAAACTTGGGAACATGAGGCTGAGTCATGTACAAAGCATAGAGAATGTAGAGAGCGCCAACACGCCACTGCAGGTCATATGGAGGCAGAAAGTACTCAGTAGTTATCCGAAAGGCTTCCTGCATTGCCTATAACAAACAGTTGAAGTTATTTTTTAACAGTAACATCAAATAACGGCAAAGTTGTCGTGCAAAGTCGACAGATTTATACATATCATACAAAAGAGTTAGACTGAATTAATTGAAGTTCTATTCAATTTCAAGAAATATGGCATTTCAGCATCCTGTCCTTTGAATGGTATACTGCTTATTATTTCACATGCAGTACAACAGCACCACTGCTGCACAGCTGCCTTGAACGAAAAGAGAAATTCACAGTACCTCTTTCTTTTCTTGTCCTTTCTCGATTCCACTGGGAACGAAAGTATTAACAAGAACTGTTGAAACTTTTCAAAAGTGCATGTACATGCATGTACCGTATATTTATACGGACCTTCAAATGTGTTGAAAATATAGAATTCAGAAACACAGGGAATGACTTTCTATATATATACATGTACATGTACAGTCCATGCACATACATGCTAAAATCTGACGTGTTGAATGAGTGCAGTGTTAAATCCAACATTTTAAATGTTAAACCCACTGTACACGTAGCATTTTAAATATCATATCCAACATAATTAAATTAATTCAATAATGTAGTGTAATTCAACATTTTCCCCTTGATATTGTTATATCATCATTGAAAATGTTGAATTAACAGCTTAAATGCTGACTTTAAGATTAAAAATGTTGGATTTACCATTTAAAATGTTGTATTCAACACTTCGAAGAGTGGTTACTGACCGCACTCTTGTAAGTGTTGGATTCAATGCCAGTTTTTAGCGTGCATATATCAGCTGTTGTTTTTATTCATCTAATTCTACGGAAGTTTGCTTTGCCCAAAAGCTCTATCCTTCAGTATTTACATACAAAACATTTAAAACCTCCAGATTTAATTGGCCTAAATCATGACATCATGCTTTATTAATATATTTGCGCTTTCCTAAGGAGGCTTGATAGATCATGTCCCAACTTGCTGCTATGAGAAAGTGTACAAAGCATACGAAAGTATCAGTGTTGTAGTCGAGACCATCATGAGACCAGACACGAGACCGGTCACAAGTAAGTGTGAAAAATGACAAAGGAATGCTTTTGTTGCAGTTCATTTGAATAGCTTGTGACTTGAATTCAGACTGGAGGTCTTGTGCTGGTCTTGTGCTAGTTTTGTGCTGGTCTTGTGCTGGCTTTGTGCTGGTCTTGTGTTGGTCTTGTGCTGGCTTTGTGTTGGTCTCGTGTGGTCTTAAGCGGTCTCACGTGGTCTTAAGCGGTCTTGTGTGGTCTTAAGTGGTCTTGACTACAACATTGGAAAGTATGCAGCATGAAAATGCTCACTTATAGTGAAAAGAAGTTTACTCACAAATGAATGAATGTGAAGTTCAGTTTGCGCCACTCCTCAGCAAACATTTGGAATCGTACATTCTGTGTCAGTAAAAACTGTTCAAGTAAATGCTCGATATCTTCTCTCAGCCCAGTATGCTTCTCAGAGTCCACGGTCTCCATTTCACAGGAGTCTGCTTGGCTCCTACAGCATAATATTTATAAGTTTATAATTAATGTACATTATGACTATAATATTGTGATTGTGCTCCCCTCTCCCATCTGCATCACGAAGACTGCCCCCTAGTGTCATGTCCATGTAGTGCAATCCCCCTTTTCAAATGAAACATGGCTGGCCTAGTCATTACCCCCACATACATGTACAACCCTTCCTCTTGAGATCCTGGCACAAACTGTATACCACTGCCAAATAAATAAAATACGCATTTTCACAGTTGAGTTTGGGTCTCAAGTTTGGGTTAGTTTGGTTTGCCTAATACCATACTACCAGTACTCTGTTCGACTTATCTGAGTCCGAGTTGTACTTCTCCCTATGCCGCACACCACTGACCTTAAGTAGCTAAGGCAATGGATATGTGACCGGTTCACAGTCCAGATATGTGTTTGCTATTGCACTGGCAAGGGAACTGAATATGCGCAATGAGTATTTTGGCAGCAGTAGAAATTTTACAACAAATCTCTTTCTAGTTTCATGCTTTAATTGTAATTGTGAATACGTACATGCATTTACAAGATGGATTTCAGACCTTATTCGAATTCGACTATTTCCCTTTAAAAGAATTCTTCCATGGCCATGAATCACAAAAACTGAATTGAACTACGGTATCCATAAAACTTTTTGGGAGACTGGATTTTGAACATGAAAGGCGCATACATTATAGGTCTATTAAATAAAGCTTTTTGGTAGGGCGAAACTTCAGCAAGAATTCAATCTGCGATCACACTCATCTGGCTGTGATCGGTCAATCAGTACAATTAGATTGCATTCAGCCGATCTTATACATACATTGTACAAGTATGTGAAATCTCGATCTTAACATGTACCTCTCCTTTTAAATAAATCTTCAAGAACTGCAATTACAAAAGAAAAGGCAACTGCCCGAAATTATCAATAAATCAAGAAATAAGACTGACAGTGACAGATGTATCCCAATGTTTCTTCTTATTGCCTTGATAAAGCAAACTTTTTACCTCAAGTTTCAGTGAAATTTCATCAAGCTTAAGGTATAGTCTAAAAGAGATTTTGGGTAAAGAATTAACCATAAACGTGCAGACAACAGATACACATGTATGACAGGCTTTTAAAACGAATTTCTAAAAATTTATTTAGTTTTGAACAGACTTGACTCAAGTCCGAGTCAGCTAATAGCCAAGTTTGAGCATTGCTGAGTCAAAACTGGCCAGAGTCCCAGCTGAGTCACAAGTCCCAAAAATTGGCCTCAAGGCCTAGAGTCCTCCATCAGTGCACGCACCCTATGCAGGCCCAATTTATGAATGGTGCACTTGGCTGGCCCATTGTGACAATCAGACATCATCGATATCATCCCTGAACATTAGCATACAGTTTCCATCGCTACAAGAAGATGGCCACCTTTGGCTCAATGAAAGGAGGGTTCCCAACTGAATGTGAAATTTTCCTGTTCTTCCAAAACACACATGTACATAGATGTAAGTGAACCTACTGACAGTTCCAACAGAATCCTACAGGAGATATTTCTCAAAAGTACATGTAGTGTATCAGCCATCACAAAGTGATAACATCTTAGAGAGTCAAATTCAGCAGTGGAAATACATGTATAAAAGCATTCGCACTTCGGAAACAGGGTGTCAAGTAATGTCCATGTATGGAACTCTTTGTAGGCCTATTAGGCCTACATTTATGAGCTGTTTTATGTGAAACTGTTCAATGCAATCTCAACTCTTGTGAGAATTTGTTGAACATATAATCCCTCATGAGTTGCAAATCCCATGAATGCACATGTATAAAAAGGCAAATCAACTCTGAATTACACAGCCTGACAAGAATCAAGACTGTACTGAGTAAAAGTGTGTTACCTCCTCATGTCCAAAACATTAAAAGAGGAAATCTGTAGAGTCCTACCTCTGGTTACTTGGACTAGGAACTCCACTAGTGTACCTACATGTATAACACTTCATCAATCAGTTATGTTGTCACTGGCTAGACCCACAAACAGGGCTCTTTGTATACTTCCCTGCCAAAAATGGGCCCCTTGGGAAAACATTCCATACTCATTGGCCATTTTTATGACATTTTTAAACCCTACTAACTTCAAGAAAGGGGCAACAACATTGGGGGAGGGGGCTACAGATGTGAACAGAAATTCAATAACATGGGAGCCTGGTTTAAAAGAACAGGCCAGTTTCCATGGTTTCCACTTCATGCCAAAAAAAGTTTTTCCCTGATTCCATATTTCTGAACATGATGGCCATGGCAGCCTCCAAGCTGTAGTTGATCACGTAAATGTAGTTTAAAATAGGTTCAAAATTATCCAAAATTTATTTCCAAAGACAGCACAATCAACATCCTGAATAATTTACAAGTAAGTGTTCTGTTCATTCGCCAGTTATGCCAGTAGTAGGGTCTGAAATGGATTTTTTCTTCTTGTTGAAAACCTTCCCCTCTCTACAAATTTTGAAAGCATGTTTCAAAAGAAGTTGAATGGTGCAAGAATCATCAAAATCGGACATCTGGTTCAAAAGTTATGCCAAAACAAAAAGTGAAGGTTTCCGTACTTCTTTGTCTAAAAAGTCAATGGACACCATGGTAATATTTGGGAGACAATGGAATCAAATAGGTAAGTGTTAAACATGTAAACAAAACAGTAAACAAATTTGACACTCAATATTTCTGTGACAAAAAACATATGCACTTTATTTTTGTAGTGGGGGTAGCTGATGGACAGTCGCTCCGCTTCATAACATGATTTAAAGAAATCAAATCGTTAATAAATATTTTGTTGCCATGGTAACAAAAGTAAAGAAACACGTTTATTTAGTGCCACTTAATATAAGTATTTTGTAAAAAAATCAATTTTTTGTAAAGTGGGGTGGAAGCATCAAGCTTATAGTTCCTACTGTCAAGAAATTAAACCAATATCTCCAGAAATAAACTAATTAATGACTATTTTATTTGTTTACTTTTTTATGGAGAAATAGATTGGTGTAAACAAATACGTAAACAAATTGAATTGTAAGTAACTTTTCAAAAAAACCTCACGGCTTTGATTTTTAGTCAACAATTTTTTTGAGGTTAACACAACAAAATGAATGTAATTTGTCTTTCAAAATCACAATTGTATTAATTATATATTGCCATGGAAACACATGTAAACATACATATTTACTGGAAGCAACTGATGATGCCGCCTCAATAAACTTGTACAAGTGGTCACGCATGGCAGTCCAATCCTTTTTAGCACCTTGGTCCGAAAATTTGATTTTTTTGTCATCTGGCAAATATTGATGCAGCACTTCCCTTCTAAATTTTATTTGATTCTTGCAGGCCTGGTACCTTTCTCTGTCACTTTCGCACTGATCCATTTTATCATCAACCTGCTGGTTTGACTGCCAAAGACTGGCATCAATTATTACGTTTGTCAACTCTTCTTTACGTTTCAATTTCAATTTTTGACTCTTTTCAAGTTGATTTTGTTTTTCCTGCTGCTTTTTTACCAGTGCTTCATGTCGAAGTTTTTCTCTCTGTTTTGCTTTTTCTCGCAACTCTTTTGTTGGTTTACCTATTACACTGCTAATCATCTCCGCCATCCTTTCCTGACCAAGAGATGAAATAAAATGTGACGTTTTGTTAAATACAGACATAACCTGGGCTTCATTGGCAATTGCAGATGCATTCGGGCGTTTCTTTATCAAGTGATCTAGATATCCAAATATTCTCTCCGGTAGTATGTTGTGTTTTGGTACTGAGGCTGTTTGTGTTTTGAAAGATGTAGATCTTGTCATTTTGTGGTATTTTCTGCCTGGCAAATAATCCGCAGTTACTCTACTGGTTAGTTGTTGCAGTGCAATGAGGGTGTGTTGCATCATGCTTAATGTGATGTCATCATTTTGCCATTCACTTGACAAAGATTCAAACACTTCATCTTTGACAATCAGACTTTCATCAAAACATGTGCTGCGACATTTGATAAAGTTGACAAGTTTCTCATCGGAATCAAGAATTTCCTTAAAGAATATGTGCATCTTTGAATAGATGTTGCACATATCAAGTATGTGACCTGGTGCCTCGGTTACACGCCAGAGTGGGGCAGTGACCATTTTATTTATAATACCCAATATTTTGCAGTCTGCTAAGTACAAATCCACCTGCACATCTGCATGAACGGCTTTCAGTAACCCATTAGTTTGACCAACAACATTGTGAAGAAAGTCATATATACGATTCCTGAGATGAAATCCCCCCAGTTTTGGACAACTTTGGGGAGGCACTCTTCCCTATATGCCTTAAGTAAATCATTAAATTTTGTCTCAGTTGCTGCCCTATCGCTCATTGTATTCTTAATCTGTGTCAGAATCTGCATACCGAGATTAGAGCTACAGGTAGAGCTACAGATGTACGAAATATCATCAAGAATCAATTTGAATGTGCTGAGAGTGTCTTCAGCGCTTTTTGAAACCATTTTCCTAAGCCCTAATACAAAGGATGACTCGGCTCCAGACACTGTATATGTCATGTACACATCGCCTCCTTTTGGGGTCTCATCTGTGGCCATGGTGAGGTTGGTTTCCTTCTGGAGCTCCTCCATTTGGCGTTGGGAGAGGAGAAGTCGCTCATCGTTCATATGGGCAACTGTTCTGCCCGTGGGAAGGCTGTCTGCAATCTTGCAAGCCAGTTCAAGGACAGCCTCTATAACCTTCGGGACATTTTCAAAGGCTACGTGGGCTGACAAGAGTTTGTACACACATGCCCGAGTTTCTGCAGTGTAACATCTAACTCCGTCTTTGGTGGTGGTAAGCATCACAGTCTGGCTGTTTTTCTCTTTCACTTTTTGCAGGAGATCTGCATTTTTCTCCTTTAAGTCCAGAATGGTCTCGTGTTGTTGTCCTACCTGTGTTTCGAGCACAGACATTACTTTTTCATAGTCCTTGGCGGTGTCCTCTTGATCTTGCTCTGACTTGGCGGCTTTCCTGGACAGCAAATCCTTCTCTGAGCTCAGTTTTCGCTTTACAGTTTTTGCTTTGTCCAACTTTTTTTCCTGGATGTCTAACCTTTTTTGGAGATCCTTGATGGTTTCTTTCTGCGCATTGATTGTATTCTTTTGTCGTTTTTCGCGCCTTGCAATGACTGACACTTTATGTGGAGAAACCTTAACGTCTACATGTAGTTCTCTAGCCAGACTTTCATTGGCAAGCTGCAGGGCTTCTACGTCACTTCTGGATGTTGTGGCAGTTGACCTTGGGCCTAGTGGTTTTGACTGCGGAAGGGCGTACTTGGTCTCCTCCCACATTTGCAACAGATCTGGGGTTTTTTTGGCTCTTTTCAGGAGGTCTCACTTCTTGTCATGCATTGTTTCCCATTGTTTTCGAATGGCTTTGCCTGAAGGTAGATCAGTTACTTGCACATTCAAGCACTGAGCAGGCCCCAACAGAGCATCGTTCCAGGTCAGTTCCATGCTTGACTTCTTCAGATCATGAAGCTGGAGAATATGCAAATTAAGCAGAACCTCTGGGGCATCACTAAGCTCTTCACCAGATATTAATGCCTTAAGTTGCTCATCTGTGAAGCCAACAGGCCCAGGATTAGGTTCAATGTCGCCAGAAATGATAAGCTGGTGGAGACGGCTGATGGGGAGACTGGTGTTGGTGAGAATATCAGCAGATGTCAAGGGTTTATATTGTGGCACGATGACTGCATCAACGGCAACAACAAACAGGGCCAGGCCGAACAGAAGCACTAACCATCTGCTACAGTAAAATGGTGAATCACTGGTGCCATGGCTGCAGCTTGGATGCTTTGGAAGTTTCGGAATTTTCACGGAAGGCATGACAAATAAGCCAATTCTCCGGCGCCAAGATTGCATTTCATCACCCATTATGTTCTGGAGGGAGGGAGAAGACGTAACACAAATTGAACTAAAAAACATACATGTTTGATGTACATGTAATTGTTTCTACAATGTGTTTGCGTAGGCAATATTGTATGAAAACAAAGTTTGACTATCCCTTTCTATAAAACATTTTTGAAATTTATCATGTAGGATTGACAAGTCAACAGTGTTGATCCAAGTTTAATAAATGTTATAACCAGCAAGTGATAATATTTAAAGGCAACCAACAAAGTGCCAGGCAATCATTATTTATTGCTGGACATTTTTAAAATATATCTGTTATTATTATCACAAAATATGTGGGGCCTGACATTTCGATCAGTAGCAGATTCTTTCTCAAAAGGAAAAAAAGAAATCCTATTTCTGTGAATTCCTCATCAATTTTAAATTATTGAATGAAAAATTCAAAATAAGAAGGTAAAAATAAAGAAATAAATTATTTGAGTAAATGTTACTTTTCGTTGCACAAATATTCCAAAACAAAAAGCAAAAACAAGCACCCCAAAAAGCACCAGCACCAAAATAAATGCAGCCCATGTTAAATACCCTCCGAGACACCGCGCACAGCGACCGTGCGCGGTGTGGTGCCCTACCGACACACGCTCTGATTATCCCAGGCACGGTCCACGCGGTGCCACGCTGTACTTTTCTTTCTCATGACAAAAAGTGACAGCGTGCATGGAGGTAGGGTCTGCATTTTTAAGATAATATAACATCCTACTTTCATTTTTTGACAGTTTCCTGTAGTTTCATGGGCAGGTTCAAGGTCAAAATTACATAATAATGGACTTACCAAACTCGATCAAACAAATCTCAGCGAAAACTCGATCGATTTTTGTCGGACTTTTTGCGATAGGTAGAGGGTACCGTAGCGATGCATTTACACACGACTCCAATGCAATGGCGCCAAGTACCAGGCATGCAACGTGGCCGTTTTGGTTCCCCTCTAGCGAGATCGTGTTTACCAGCTTTTGCACACGCGGCGATACCTACGCAGAAGATGATGCACAGTAGTCCGTTGCGGTCGCTACCAGTAGACAAATAGAATGTGACGTCTGTGACCATATACTGTAGTTGCCAAGTCCCTTATTTCACCACTTAAAATGGTTAGCTCAACTATGACAACCAATCAGCTTGACATAGGTGGCAAAATTAAGGACCTAGCGACTATAGTCTATACCTACAGTTAACAGTAACAGATGTTAGGCTTATTCGTGAAGTGGCAAATAGAATGAGTTCGGAATTTTTTTTACGGGCCCTATAGTATTGCAGGTGGGGTAAAGATGAAGGAGTACACATAGAGCCCTTTCTAGGGGTCTAGACCTAGCCTAGGCTTACATGACCAGGCCTCCAAGGCAAGCCTTTTAATTCCATAAATTGCAGATTTTATCACCTACCTGATGATGCGATGGATGGTGTGGATTAGCCTATGCGGGTAGGCCTAGCGTATTCTGCCAATATGATCAAGACTTTATAGCTGAATAAATAAAAACTACTACTTCTAAGCAGTTTTAAAACTGCTGCTGCTCATTGGTAACAACTGCAGCTACATTGTACGTCTGTGACAAGCTTCGCTGAGAATAAAACGTGAATCGTAAAGCATGTAAAGTGTTCACACAACCAATCACAAAAACCACACTGGATCATGAGCGCTGCCATCTTGACTGATTATCTACACGACATTTGCTATGTTGATGTGCGCATTAGTTGAAGGGTACCAGTCACCAAACATTTAACCAAAAGAGGGCAGCAGGCAACTTTCTCTTGTGAAAATCGAGATGTCGTCTGCTCTCACCGCGCACCATACCAGTGCTTGTGGAACGCTGAGACATGAGAAGCGGGAATCGAATGCCGACCGTCGCAGATCTACATCACGATGTATCAGAAGTACAGTGGGATCGTTGCATCTCACACTGGCATCTGATTTGTGAAGTTTGACATCTTAAACACGCGAAAACCACAATGACACTAGAAAGTGTCTAAAGAGCAACATCAGCTGGTCCACTTAGTGATGACTTAGGCCCTACTGCGAAGCCTCCCGTGATGTCTCCTTTGAATTTGAAAACTACGACGGGCCTTCCGTAACTTTTGGAGTCACTACAAGAAAAAAATGACAGTTGCCAAGTATGTTTTATTTGGTATCATCATTTGCAATGGATCACGAACCAGCTAACAGGTGGGTGTCCATTCTTGACCGCTTCGCCATACCAGCTGCTTTCCAGGGGCCGGGGGGGGGGCAAGGCAGTTTTTTAAGAAGGGGGAGGGAGTTTCCAAAGGGGGAGAAACACTCATTAACAATGAACTCATCAACAATAGAAGGAATAAATTTCGTTTTTTTAAAAAGCAAATTGGTGATAATTTTCATCCCCTTAAAATCTTTTTATCAGCCTTCCCCATTTTTCCCTTTTGTCATTTTCCTTCTGGGGGGGGGGGATACCCCCTTGTCTCTGTTACAATGCCAAATGTAAGCCTTATATAAGGCAGTCCTGTTACCTTACATTTTTCTAGCAGCTTCCATCTCAAGATAAATTCCCCTGTAGTCCTTTTACGGAAGACTTTCTGAGACTGAGAGGCTACAATGGTAATTTTTGGACCGATGCACATTGCAAGAAGTGGAAAAATAAAGAGAAACAAGCAAGATAGCAGACTGTTCAACAAATTAAAGTGGAAGATTATTTGTTCTGTTGTTGCCTTCTTCCTTTTTGTTTTTTCCTTTTCAATTTTCTTTTTTTTGGGGGGGGGGCAGGTACCTCAATTCTTTTACATGACACCTAGGGGAATTTGATTTATTTTAAAGGGAATCATTACCTTTTGAGTATTGTGCACCTCAGCTTATGTAAAACAAGCCCTGTTTCTGACTTGGTTGCTTGGCCATTGCCAAAGCCCAGTCTGAAAAAGTGGTTTTCTTAACTATGTGCAATTTCATATTGAAATCAGTTAGTTTGGTAATACCAACTGGTTGCTGTTAAACAACCTTTAAAGATTGTTATAATTAGCCTACTAAATATTCAGAGGAGAATATATTGCATTTCAGTCAGTTCTTGATTAAAAAAGTGATTAATCTTTTCTGAGGTACCTTAGAATGTCACTTTAGGACCAAAGAATATAGAACTGGGAACAGTGGTATAGCTTAAGGGCACATGCTGTGTCTTGGTCCTCCCCTACATGTAAAACTTGATTTTCTATATGTAAACAAAGTGCTGGAGAGCAGGTCATGCCCCCTAAAACAGTACAGCCCCCCTCTTAACAGCTAGACTCTAGTTACATTGCTGACTTAGAAACAATTATGAATGCAAATTGTTGCATCATGATGATGTGAGAAGTTCCTTCCTAATTTGGAAGTGATGTGCTACACTTCTAAAATCTTTAGTAATCAGTCGCAAAATTATACAGTATTTGCTTTTAAGTATACAGCTCTGTTGTTATATATGCATAAGCTGTCTTAATCAACAGTATACTGGGCTCTTCCTTGGAAAATCAGATTACTTTCATCTTTGATTTTTTGTGGAGCTTTGTCCCAAATACCTCAATTATTTCCTTTGTTTCAGAGGACACTGTCATTTTGAACAAGACAAATTCATCTGATGAAAACAATATTTGGAACAACCATTGACCACAGACAATGAGAACAACAAAATGTTTATTTTAAGCTGCAAAGAGAGTTTATTTGCTTGCCTCTAGAAATAAAGCAAAAGGGAGTTTATTATACTTTCTACAATTTAAATTAATGTAATAGGAAATTTTTAAAAGTCTTCCATACCGGTACAGAGGTGAATTGTATCATTAATGTTGCAAATGCACATTACATTAAATCTGTTTGATAATGATCTGGTGTTTTAATTTGATTTCAAAAGCGACAGCTGCCTTAACAATAAACATCATTTTTTATTATCCTCAAATGCAGGTAATCTAATTTGTTTGTATGTTTGATTAGGCTGTGTCCACGTGCATTAGACACACAGAGAAAAATGATTCATTTATTGAAATAAGAAAATTAATTTGAAATGCAGTTAAAGGTAAACACAGAGACTTAAGTCTGGAGTTAACGCTTAAAACATGCATGCAAGACTCTTATAATCTCTAAAACAAAAGACTTGTCAAAAGACACATTGTCATTACATATGGTATTAAAATGAAGAATGTTTGGCTCTAAACTGTGGCATTAGGATTACATTTGCAGAGCAATCCTGACCATATAATATTGTGGGAGAAAGGGAAAAAGAAGAGAGAGAAAAAAAAAGAAGCAAGTGCAATCTGATCATTGCCCTTCAGTATCTGAATTTTGCCCATAAGGTATACAAGAAGTATGTGTGACACATTTTAGTTCCCTGTATAATTTGCAGGGTTTCATCTCCAAAGTACCAGTAACTTGAAAAGAACATGTAAGTAGAACACTGTGAGGTGAATTTAACTTTTCTTATAAATGAGAATACGATCGGATTAAGGCATGACATCATTTATAATGACTAATATTTTTCTTTGGGAGGTTATCATTCTTGATATTAACATTCTTGGTATTTATTTGAAGAGTTTTGGCAGCTGGTTCAAAGATGTTCTGTTTTACTACATGCAAAATAATGCAAAGTTACGCAAAGCAGAGTACATTTTGTGTATGTTAGATAAGCATGATAAGGAATCATGTTGCACACTTCAATAAAATATATTCAGGAAAATACAATAACAATAGGATCTTAAACTCAACTACTTACAATTAAACCCTTGTTAAACACCCTTGTTAAAATCAATTGTACTGTGGCATTTCTCATTTCCATTTACTTGTTTTGGCCTTTCAGAAGTACTGTGCTTTGTAGGTAGTCTTTTTATTCAATCTACTGAAGGCAAATTAAGCAAAATCTCCCTTTACCATTACTAAGACAATTCTTTATTTGGATGGCATTCTAAACATTCAAAATCAAAACAAACAACAATTCAAATAATGAAACATAAATATAACTGCGGGACAGGAGGCAAGCATGGGAAACAAAACAGAAACCAAAACACCCGCATCATCAGATCTATTAGTGACTACTGTGCACAGTACCTGAGAGTGTTAAATTCAGAATTTATCGACCATTTGGGGAATTGTTTGACTGGTCAGGATTGTTAGGTTGACTGGAGGTACAGATTGTACAGCTGCAGGTTTCAATGACTTGGTAGCTGTATTCCTGTATGACACCGTCACAGTTCATTCTAGTCTCTCGTACACCCATGCTCATAGGTTGACAGCATTGGCAATCATTGCGTAGCTCTGCACTCCCTGGTAACATGTCGACAAATGCCCGGGATGGGCATCCACCTGTGCAGGAAGTGTACTCCACAGGGTCTTCAGAGATGCAATTGCCAATTCTCAGTGTTTCCAGTCTGCTCTCCCGAAGACATTGCTTAGATTCTTTTTCTGTGTACATATATCAAGAAAGAAAACAGGTTGTTGGTCATCATGTAACTTCGAAGGCATACAGGAATGTTTGAATTACGGTCGACATGCCAACTACATATAGACTTTAACAAACATGCTTTATTTTTTGTTCTTTGTGAAGGTGTTGAAATAGGCTACCAATTTTGAAAGGAATCCTTTCTGGGGAATAAATATATCAATACCATTTCAATTTTATATCCATTTTCACTCTTTTCTACATATTTGGTGCCTGTCTAAGATTATGGTGAGTTTTCTGTTTTAGTTTTTTCCATAATTGCTATTAAGTGTGACATCAACAAAACCTTGCAATGCTGTTTTGAATAATAATTGTGAATGGAAGGTATGTTACACAAACTTAAAAGAATGAAAATGCTCAAGTTAATTTCACTCACCACACACAGGGCAGCATTGCTCCTCAATGTACCTTAGTTTTCCCTGAAAGTTAATTCAGGAAATGTTAAAGTTATTGCGGGTTTTTCAGATACAAAGGAAAAGAAGAATAAAGGTTCTGTTGGCTGCTTAAGAATGAAGCCGCTCAATCCTGAGTATCCCTTTATTGTTAAAGTAGTGAAAAAAGTAACTGCACATTAACTCTTTGTGCAGAAATTCACTTTTCTATGTCTCCAAAGACATAGTAACCAAACCCTCTGAGTAATGCTATAATCATCACTTTGCAACTTGTTGTTTTAGCTATTATTAATTTCTTAAACAGTGCAGCAGGTGTTTTACATTTAAAGAAAATGTGCAGAGGATTGAATCAACCAACTTTTTATATAGTTATGGAATGGAAACATTGTTCTGAAAGTAAACAGATTAATTTCACGCAGTGGGCACTTACATCACATCTGAGGTCGCACTCTTCCCTTATTTCAAGGATTCCAGATCCCAATTCACAAAGCATTCGGGTACATGGGTCACGTGATGGCAGCTCTTCTCCATACTAAAATTGTGAGCATAATAATTGTTAAAAGTCAAATATTTACCAGCTTCTAATATAAAAGGATTTTAAAATTGAAGTTTCACTTATTTGTAGATTTTCAGGCAACATTAAATGGGGAAATGAAAGTATTCTTATTTGAAATGATACAATGTTGAAGAACAATGTTAATGTCATCATAAACGATAGCTTGAATTACTTATACGTTTACAAAAATGTTCTGAAAGATGGTCCGCATAAATATTTAATTACCTGGTACATTCTGCCATTGTACATGCACCCAGTGGCTTCTGGTTGGAAAAAAGAACGAAAAGATATTCATTTGTCATTTCATCAAAAATTTCTATTTGTATCAGGTAAAATACAGTTTCAGATTTGTTGTTAACTCTGAGAACTGTATCTTGGACAAGATTTAAAAATAGACACAACTGACAGCAACTGCCACGAAGGGCCTACGGCAGAAGAAAAGCACTTAACAAGTCCCAACAGTGGTATATTTCTTTAATGGTATATATCTTTAAATTGTTGACATCTTAATTACCTGTTGTGGTGCTCTCAGTTGTAGTTGTTGTCTCGGTGGTACCACCCTCCTCCTCTGAAGGGGCTATAGTAACACCCACATGTGGTGTCTGTGTCTCCTCAGTGGTGGCTTGAGTTGTAGTTTCCAATGATTCGACGGTCTGCCTCGTGCTTGTGACAACTGTGACATACAGAACACGTGTACGAGTATGTGTTCAATAAATGCTTTTCAATGCTATGACTAGGTGCTACGAATAATGTCTCTGCAAATACTTTGTGGTGACGTGTGTGGTAAGTTCATTCATGCAGTCTCTTTTAAACTAATTTTCATCTTGATCTGTGACATGCTAGAATGGTTAATATTTCATAGATTGATCACAGTTTGAATTTGTCTCTTCATTGGGAATGCTTAATATAACTGTACAAAATTTTACAGAGATAACACTGAGAAACACTTCTCAGCAATGCTGAACAAGTAGGAGAACTCTTCAAGGTTGTACATTACCATTATTGATTGATTCAGTCACAGTTGTTATGACCTGTTGTGGAGATGTGATCCTCTCAAATGTGGATTTTCTTGTGGTTGTCAGTGCTGGTGAAGCAAGAAAAAAAATGAGTTTTAGGTGAAATGTGAATTAAGTAAACAACAGGAGAGGAAACGATTTCCCCTTCTTTATAATTCCAGTAGAGTTCTGTCACCCCCTCAGTAATCCCATGTACAATTGATTTCAACCATGTTATATTGATATCCATACAATTACTTTTGGTGTTATCCTAAACCACCCAGCTAGCAAATTAAAGGAGTTTAAAAAATAGTGTTTCTGGCGTCCAACTGAACTGACTAACCAGTATTCCAAAAGTTTTAGATATAATTGCCTATCACACTCCATTTCCAATTGTTCCCTAAAATTTAGTATAAATATAAAAGAAGTCGTGTTGAATTTATGAGTTGCTTTATCAAAATGCACAGACATGCACGTAATCAGTAAAGTGAAAACTAGTGAAAACTCACAATGTCCAGCACATCCAAAAAAGTCTACTCTGAGGGCAGGTTGAGTTCCCTGATATGCAATAATCTCTATAGTCAGAGACTCAGCAGGCTCTGTAGGTTTGTCCAGATATACCAACACAGGGCTGTCAGATTTTGTAGTCATCAGGCGTCCAGTAAATGTCTAAAAGGAAAAACAGGGGGACAAAATCAAACTTTCGGTTACAACTTCCTAAATTTCATTAATCATCTTGAAATATAACTGAATATATAAATATAAATGCAAGGTCGAGAACCCTTAAAAACAGACTAGAATGAGAGTTCATGTCTGTAATAAAACATTATGACAACATTTGTTAAGTTTGACTTTTGAAGATTTGCAGTTATATGTTTAAATCTAGTCTTTGTGTCAGTTTGTTTGTAAACTGACTTGTGCCATAATGCCACTGATTTTGAAAAACCAATATAATAAATTGAAACTTGCATACAAATGCTGGGAAATGTTACAAGTGAAATAGATTCAAACTTGGACATGCATTCCAGCTCATAAAATGAGCATTATTATTCTGAACAAAGATTTCGCAGGGTGTGATGTTTCCATGTGAAATTCACAGGAAGCCTAGTTTCATAATTACCTTGATTTCTCCTGAAGTGCTGTCAGTGTAATATACTTCTGTTTGAGAACCAGCTGGAAGGTACTTGAGGCGGAATTTTGTCACACCATTTCCTTGGCCATCACCAGCCATCTTCAGAGCATTAAGTCTGAGGGGATGGTCAGACTCAAGTCTCACAAAGGGTACAGTGCCATCAGATATGCTTGGCATCCATACATCGGTTAACCTGAAGCTGGAGAGGTCTTTTCTATATGGCATGGAGGTCGTCCTCTCAACACCCATGCCGATGAAGGCTGGGGATGTCTCCAAATTCTCCATACAAATGCCTGAAATTGCCATTAATCATCTATTATTTAGTAACTGCCTAGTAGCTGCTGATCCACAGTAAATTTAACAATTACAGGATTTGCTCATTAAGTAACTAGAGCAGCACTATTTTTGTAGTCATTGAGTTTCTTTGAGTAAGTGACAGGCTTGTTCTTTGCCTCCCAAACAATTTTTTTGCAGTCTATGTTAAGTGAAAATTTGAATTATAACAACAACAACTGAGATGTAATTTCCTGAACGTCTGTGACATTGGCCAATGATATACTGTAATTCCTCATGTTAACACTTTCACCCACAGAAAAAACCTTAAATGCTTGTCAACACTTTATCCTTACCAAGCGTGGTCGTTAATGGTTTTTGTGATGTCACTGTTGTTGATGCTGTGTACGTCGTTACACCTAATTCTTTTGTCTCCATGACACTCTCTGTTACAGTTTCAGATGAGGTAATAGTCTCTTTAACAGTTGAGGTTTCTACAAAAGATAATAATTGCCAATCACAATATCAGTATTACTTCTACAAAATAATGGTATAATCCATTAAAACATGAATATGACTTCAAAGTCTTCTCATTCAAATTACATGTTCTGATTAAAATTTCTAGAGGCCAAATAATCTAAAAGAACTATTTAAATATGAGCTGATGGTTAGAAATTGCAAAGTGATAAAGCGCAATGTGTATGATGTTATTTGTGTCATTTGATCTAGATATTAACTTCCATTAATAATTTGACTTGTTTGAAACAGACAAATAATTAAACAGTCCAAAATAACTTTATCAACTTTCATGGAGAATAAATACAATTATCAAGAGTTTACCTCTGCCTGGAATGGATGTTGCGGTGACAGTGACCTTCTGGGTTGGTGACACAGAAACCCTCTCTGTTGTCGTCTTTATTTCCACACTCGGTTTTGTGCTAGATTTAGCCTCTGCTGGCATTGTCTCAAGTTTGCTCACTGTTGTCGTGACTGCTGTAGTTGTCAAATCTGAGGAAGATTTTCCATGTAAAATTTGGGTGTGATTGATTTTTGGAGTATTATTTCCTTTTAATCAAGATGTCTTTTCAGTTAAAAGAAGTTATACAATTGAGTTATACTACAAATTTCAACATGAATATGTCTTTGGTATTGATTTACCTTTTTCACAACAAGTAGGATAAATTTCTTTGATATTTCAAAAAAGTTGTCAGAATGAAAAAAGAAAGAAGGGACTCCCACTTACGATCAAAGCAGCCAAAAAGGTTCACCATGACTTCAGGACTTTCTTGTGGATCTGCACTGATTGTGGATCGGTAAAAGAGTTCTAGCACTCCAATTTCTCCAACATCTTCAGGCAGATACTGTCTTACTTGGTCTGCTCCACCACTAAATGTCTACAGAAATTGAGAAAAATTACTGTGTCTGCCAGCTTGTTCTGGAGATGTCATCCACTAAAAGCACATTACAAATTCACTAAACAGTTTATCGTCTTGTACATATTTGTTTGAACCTGGCTGAATCATTTAATTGGGAATTTTTAAGAGTGGGTATTTTAGCATGAATTACACAGTAAGCAGTCTCATAATCAGTGAAAAGGGTCATAAGGATTAATTCTTTGCTTTGGAAGTTAAATGATAGACAATGTTTATGCGATTTGCTGGGGGGGATTGTGAAGCATTGGGTGTAATTATGTATGAGCTCTTTAATGAGTGCACTTGTTATAGTACTTTTTGTACACTTACCTTTATGCCATTTGCATCTTTGATGACAATTCTAGTGTTTGAGCTGGGCAGAATGTAGAATGCAATGAAATCAAAGTCATCATCCTGCTCTGCAGTCAGTGATTGAACAACCACAGGTGGTTCGAAAGAAATGGTCAGTCTGCGATTCTGGTCGGATGGTCTCCATGGCTCATTTGAACCTAGTGTGCCAAGATCAGTGGATCTTGTCACAGTGGTTCCATCAAACCTGGACAGGTCTTTGTCGCATAATTCTAAAACAGAAAATAGATACCAAATTGAAACATATATTAGCTGTGAGATAAGTTTCAGTTTAAAACAGTGGTTCTTTTAGTGACTTTTTTCCGAGTTGCAGGAGTGACAGACAAAGAAGTTGTAAAGAGCAAGTTGTGAGTTTATTGTGTGAACAATCTTAACTCCACAGTAATTAATTACATAAATTGTTCTAGGAATTTGAAACTCACAAGCAGAGGAAAAATGCTTTGAACAACTGAATTTGGTCTTCCAGGTCTTAAACATTTAAAAGTATTTGGTCTCTTTAATGTTACAATAACCCTGTGAAGTGAATGATTGGTGCCCATTGAAGGAATTTTTTTTCCTTATGTATACCACCTTTTTTGCTTTTACTTAAACGAGTGCTGCATATTGTAAACGTATTTTAACAAGGGCAACCTGACCGTAACTGACACAAAGAATCTCACTCACTTTCAGGTTCGGTGATTGCCTTCACAGTTTGTCTGGTAACTTCTGTGGTTGTGACCTTTGCTGTAGTGGTGGTCACAGTTGATGACAGCATTGTGTTCAACATCTCTGGTGTGGTGCTTGTTGGGGCGGTTGTTGTGGAGGTAGTTGATGTGAGCATCGTTGTTATCGAGGGTGTAATTATCGGTACTGCTTGAAAATGCAGAAAGAATAACTTAGAATGAATTGCATTTTAATTCCATTTCAGTCAGTTCAAGTCCTTTACCGGATAGCGTACTCACATGATTTGATTAAAGTTTTCTGTAGACTTTGTCAATATATTTACACTTAAAAATGACAGATGCAAGGTATACATTGAGGCTCTTTGTTTGAAATAATAAGCTCCTCAAAGGAAAAGATAAAATAGGTCACACTGGTGTTTCTGGTAGATACAGATTAATTTTATTCTGTGTCCCAAACTGTCGAAACTGTTAAACTGAAGAGACTGAGCATCACTTTTAATGTGGCAATGCCAATATTTGTAAATAGTATTGAGAGGCAATGATAAGCACAGAGCTAACCAAAATAAACAAAAACACTATAGGTGACTTGATGTGTGGCATCATCTCACCACAAAAAGGAGATTATGGACTCCACATTTAGAGACAAAAGGAAACATGAAAAGGCAGAATCACAGGAAAGTGATGGCCCACATGGTCATCAGATTGCTTAATAACAGAGGTTAGAAAATGTCTGATTGGAAAGTGAAGGGAAATCATGCTAATAATTCAAACACTCACAGTTCACACAGCCATGGAATTCAGCAGTAAAGATTGCTTGCTTGTTTTCAGGCACATTCAAGTTGGTGAGGGTTACTTCTATGACATTTTCCAGTTTGGTGAATGGCAAAGATATGGTGACTGGGTCAGTCACATCCACATCCCAAGGTACATTGAAAATCTAGTCAGAGGAATACAATAAAGCAATTGTATTTAATTTGGCAACTCAGCAGGTATTGCAGGTATCTAAGCACTTTTTGGTCTATGTATATGAACATATATTATGCACATTGGAATGGGATCAGGTGGTGTGTTTTCAATTTCTTATAAATGTATTTATATTTATCAAAAAGATAAACTGACATATACATGTGCCCATTTAAAGCCCAATATAGACATACTCTGGGATAACAACAGTTAAATTTATTTGTAATTCTGTCATTCGTACATTTACTTTAGGAAAGTTAGAATTGATATCTAATCAGCAATTAACTTGTGTGGGTCATTTACATATAATGACTTATTTTTCTTCTTGCATCAATCAGTGTGTGAATCGGTCTAAATTATGCAGCCATAGTTTGCTCTGGATGCCTGTCTTTGTATGCTGGAGACAAATGTGAAGAAATCATTTCTAAATTATGCCAAAGTTAACCTCAAAGTTATTCTAGGAATGGTTGAAAACTGACCTGCAGGCCAGAATCATCTTGAAGTTCCCGTGTCGAGTCCTCCTCATACAGTCGGTAGCTGACAGTGAAGCTCATAATTGCATTGCCCTGTGTGTCTCCCTGCAAGGTCAACTCCGTTATTGTTACTGGAGTTGTGAATGGAACAACAAACCTGCGCTGTGAGGGCACTGGACCATCTGCCATTGAACTCTGGCTCATGAATGGTGTTAGGACGTCATTGCAGTTTTCTGGAGGTGTAATATGATGTAGACATTTCTCATGAGATACAAGAAGAGTGTATAAGGAATAATGCATTTATCAACAAGAACATTAGGATTGTAATTCGGTCTACTTGTGTGTACATACGACAAATGTCATTGTAAATATAGGCAGATTAGAGAGTTTTGTCACTGGAGCAATTAAGACTGTATGACTCAAATATGCTTAACAACTGGTTTTTGTAAAAGTCCAAGAAATGTGGAATTTTGCAGGCAAAATTGTACATGTGATGAACTCAACCTGTATACACAAATTGTTTTGTAGCAGTGAGAAATGTATGTAATCCAAAGCAACAATAGCCCATAAACTAGCAGCATTCTGAAGCCAAACTTTATAAGGGATACAACACCTTTTGGAATGAGAGTGGCCAACTGTGTTATTTTGGCTGTTGATGTAGTTTTGGTTGTGGTTTCAGTCTCAGTTGTGGCTACTGCTGTAGTTGTAGTTTCTTCCTTGGTTGTTTCCATGCTGCCAGGAGTAGTTGGGACAGTGGTTTTGACGCTTGAAGTTTTGGATGTTGATGCTGATGGAACACCTGCTGAAATGTGATCCAAGAAAAGCTGATTGATATTCTTACCACTGTTTTCTGGAACCAATTTTAGTTCATTGTATACTAGAGCTTGGCCTAAATATTTTGCTATGAGTTTAAAAATCGTATTTTACAAAATGGAAAAACATGCATTAAGTCGTGTTTTGAAACCAAGTTGGAATGGTGCCTTTTCACTAAAACATGGGGATTGGATTTCAGTCCAGAGTATTTCTGGGATGTTTTTCCTGAAGTTTTTCTGAGCTTGTTTAATTCTCATCTCTCCTAAGTTTTTTTGAGGCTTATATGCTACAATACTTGGAATGCCATGAGAACTTCAGGGGAATTGATTCAGTATCAGAAATTAATAATAAATCAATTTTTAAAATGAACAGCAAACATTTTTATTGTTCTAGTACTTGTTCACACATAAGTTTAGATTTTTCTTCTGTTTCATTGGTAATACATGTTGTGGACCTTTTCAAAGGTTCAGTGTACACATTTGGTCTTTTAGTGCAATGAAAGGATTGGCTTGCCTTGTGGTTGTTGAGTGCTTGTTCCTTCAGGATTCAAAGTAGTTTTTGTTGTAGTAGATACGTCTGTGATGACCTCCTCTGCTGTAGTGGTAACTGATTTTGTTTCCTTCTTTTCTGTTGTTGTTGCTTCTGTGGTGAGAGGTGCTTCGACTGTCACTTCCAGTGTTGTGAGAAGTTCCTTTTCTGATGGAAGTTCTTTTGGAAAAGAAAAAAATGAAAAAACTGGCAATAAAGTACATTTGACTATAAATGCAACAAAAGGGTGCATTATTTATTAATGATAGCAGTGTACCTTTTTGAAGTCTTGGAGTGCACAGAAGTACATATGTACCATAATTGAGGCATGTAGCTTGTCAAATCTTTGGGATTCATTCATAAGTTGTTTACTTTAACAGAATTATGAAAGACTGGCAGATTATGGCAGAATTATGCATGATTAACCATGAAAAACGTTAATAAAACAATAAAAAAGATTTATATATTTATACAATTATACTCAATGATATTAAAGTTATAGAAAAGATCCAATTAAAATTGACAAAACACCAACAAAACAATCTTACTGTAGACTGTGTATTGTAAATACATTTCAATAGTTTTTGTCTCCAAATACATCATGATCAGCTCTAGGACTCTGAAACTTGTGAAAACCCTTTACACGGTGTACATACCTTTTACGCAACCAACAAGTTCTGTTTTCAGAGTTGCGGTTTCAACAGAGTCCAAGGATCTAAAGAATTGTAGCTTCATGGCTCTAACATTCTGTAACTCCTGGACATCTGGCAATGTGATTCTGGTGAATTCAGAAGACTTGTCTATCGTGAATTCCTGTTTCAGATGAACAGAAAGAAGTTTTTTTTGGTAGAAATTTATGAAAACTACTTTTAACTTGTATGCATGTACCCATTCCATCAGTTGTGTGCTGAAGCAGATATATTTTATTTCAAGATTTTTTATTTTCTTCACTCTTTTCATATTGATTAATTTTCCTGGATGAGTTTTTGATACTTGTGTCCTTGTTCATAAAATGTTAGCTTGTATTGTACTTTTTCTAATCCACCAGAAAATGCCTGTTAAATGCAAACTCTACATACAATTGACTGCTTTTACATTGCATTCAAGCTTTATGTTTTCCTGCCCTAAAGACACAACTTAGTTGGATACAGTGGAACCTCTTTCTCAACATGTTATTTGTGAAAATAGGAAATGTGACCTTTTGGCTATGTATGATACACCTGCTTTATATATAGTCTCACCTGCTGTTGACCATTGGCATCTGTAATTGGTTTGAGATCAGAGAAGGAGGATCCAGCAAAAACAGCAAAATTCTTCACCCCTTCGGTGAACAGGTCAATGGCAGTAATGCGCAACACTGAGTTGAAGAGCAAGTATATTTCTGCTTGTGCTGCACTGAATGAGTATTTTTCATCCCTGCTGAATGTTGACAATGCCACTTGCTGATTGGAAGGAGATGCTATGCGGTTAGCTTCACGATCCAGTAGAAGGTCCATGCAATCTCCTGTGTCAGAGATAAGACAAAGTTTATGTATGTCACTCTATCTATGCCAAATTGAAAATTTGTGCAAGGGTTGCCATTAGACAGTTTCAGCATCCAAGCTGATTCGTTTGTGTTCGTATGTGTATCCGTATGACACAACACATATACGGGTATGTATAAGCATGCACAAATTTAGTTTTGTCATGACTTGCATGTTCATATGTGATGATGCATAAGGCAATGTAGCAACATAGGTGGCCCTATTTCTTCAAAAACAGAATTTCTTCACCCCAAAGTCACTCAAAGGCATTCCTTTGAGTGACTTTGCAAGTATGAAATTTTTGTTTATAGGAACACAAATTGGTAGTGTAATGAGGTTTGCAAAACCGAAACTTCATACGTATGGGTTCCAAGTTGCTTACATTCGTTGTCATCTGTGGGGCCTCTACACATTACGTATAATGACACAGCCTAAAGTGATGAGGTCATCAGCAGAAAAGATAAGGATGCGTGATACGTGTGCGCATTTTCTGTTTGCCAATATTGTCTGTTATTTGGAATTGCCCCCATATGTTCATCTGCACATATATAGTGGTCCAAGCAATCCATCAAGAATCAATGATATCTCCTCAGAAATCCAGAAGATGCAAAGATGCATTGAATGTAGGAGCAACCCATTAGTGACAGGAAAATGTTGAAGGTACAACAAATTTAAGACATTCATCCTTATTTGGAAGGGTCAGTTTGTACAGAAACTATGAGCACATTCTTTCCTGCTTAGCACCTTAAGCTTATCAACTTTCAATGGAATTTGATGCTTGAAATAGGAGGTTTCCAGATTCTGAGTCTTGTATCTGCTTATTAAGTATCTACTGCCTGACAAACTATCAGATAAATTTCAGTACCTTTTGTAGTAGAGGGACCAAAGCTGGTCATCTTGGTTGATGTTTCTGTTATAGTCTTGGTTGATGTTGAGGATATACTGACAGTGACAGTTGTTGTCTCCTCAGATGTCGATGAAGGAGTTGTTGTTAAGGTCGGAACTGTAGTCGTCTTTGCAACCGTTGTTGTTACTTCAGTTGAAATCGATTCTGTAGTTAAAACCAAAGTTTTAGCCTTTACGTATATTCTGCTAGAAAGATTAAGACCGAAAGGCTTTCCTGCATGACCCATAAATAAACTCCTTTCCTAGTATGCTAGCGCAACTTTTCATATTCATATTTAGTTGAGGAATTGTGTTTTCCAGAGTTAGTAGTAAGATCTGTTTCCTTTGATTTTGCATGAATCATTCAGTGTTGCTGAAGAGCACCTTCCTACATGTATCCTAAACAACATCTTTAGAGCCGTGTTAATGTTAGAATTGTAGTACATGTACAAAATACTCGCCATATTTTCCATTAGTTTTTGTTCTTTCCCTAAAACGAGAACACTGTGTCCGTGGTAAAATTTTAATCGTTGATGTTTAACCTAAACTTACTCAGTCTGATGATCTAAACTTACCCTCCCTGCAGCTGTGGAAAGCTACTCTTAAATTTTCTTCTGTGGCTTTGCCAAAGATAGCTCTTACTTCCAGGCGAGCTTGTCGGACCCCACTTGAGATGTCAGAGCTATCAAAAGATATGTGTTCTATGCTATCTCCTTGCAAATCAATGATGTTTGTCTGTAAATAAAAATTGGAATTATAACAGTTTAACTTTAATGGAGCAAATTGTCAGGTGCCCAGTATTGCACAAGCCAAGCACACTAACTGGAAAATAATGGCAACTTATTTGCAGGTGTGTATCAAACATGTACCGGTATGTTCTAACAACATGTAACTTTTGTGTCACAAGATGTATCTTAAATACAACTTTTAGATGTGCCGAGTGAAATAAAACCAACCCTCCTGTTTCCTTATCCCTTTTAGACAAAATCTGAGTTTATTTTATGCAGATTTTAGATTTTGATTCATCAATTTTAACTAGGCCTGCTAAAAAATATAAGTCTTCAACACAAGACAGGTTAAAAGATAGATAACTCCTCTGGTAGAGAATGAATGGAAAATTGATCTTGTAGAAACATAGGTGGTGTCTTATCTAACACCTCACTGAACGTTTAATTTTATGGACAAATTAATATTTACATGCACAAAGAACTAAATGAAAGGTGATCTTATGCCAAAATTTTGAACAAGATAGAAGGAGCAACCACACTCACCAAACGACCAACAAACTTGTCAAAGTCCCCATTCTCTTCAGTTTGGATTGCAATTGCATACATCAACTTTATGTTTTCATCTGGGTTTCCTTGAAGGTCAACACCAACAAGTCGGACAGGATCTTCAAAGACAACGGTTAGTTTTGGCCTGGCCTCACGATTTGCAGTTGATTTTGGAGCTGTGAGAGACCATGCTACATCACTGTCAATATAACCTTGCCCATACATTCCATCTGGAGAAGTAAAACGTTCTTTTTCTGTCCCTGTAGTCCCTTCAATGCAGTAATCTGTTAAGAACGTGATAATAAGATGCATCATAGTTTATTGCACAACTGAAATGAACATTTCACAGTCAAAGAACACATGCGTTACTGCTTGATAAGAGCACACACTTTTACAGCATGAGAGTCCAGCAGTTGCAGGCTACATTAAATTCCCAAATGACTCACATTCAAAATATGTAAATTGGATTGTGATTACTTACCCCTCCCTGAATGTTCCAGCTTGATCACATAAACCATTATTTGATAACAATGTGTATTTCACATTGTTCCTATGATTCCCCTCCCCAGCCCAAGATGGCAAATGTTTGAAATGAAGTGTGCATATTCAATTATGTTGATGATTTTAGTGTGTAGTAAAAGTTTGGTTAAAAAGTCATCAAGATTTTTTTCTTGATAATTCACTTCATATTTTCAAAGAAAACTTACTTTCTGTTGTTGAGCCAGAGGAGATGGATGATACTGTAATTTCTTTTGTTACCACTTCAGTTGGTGATGTGATGACAGTTTTGGTCACAGTTGAAGTCGGGGATAATTGTGTTTGTTCTATTATTGAAGAAAATTACAGAGTTGTTTTCAGTCATCACACAGGAAGAAACATTGCACAACCATTTGATCTGAAAAACTAAGGCAGAATAATGTTCCTACTTTTGTACAGTACACAAAGCTAAAAATTTGTTTGCGTCTTTTCACTTGCTTCCTTATTGGCTGAATGTTGACCACACCTTTAGACATGCATGGAATTTGGCTACTTGCAGGCAAGTCCAAACAACTGGAAATGTTAACCTCTGTGGGCCATAAAGGTATGGAAAAAAGGAAGTTTGGTGAATGATGTAGTAGTGACAACATGACGTATCTTAACCATTAAGGAATTGAGGTGCCACTAGCCCGGTGCTGATTTTCAAAAATATCACAGAGAAGTGAAGAATAAAGAGTGCATAAATTGACCCTATATAATGCACATCAATTCACATTAATGTTCTATTTGTCATACCTGTAAATATGAATGATGTCTCATCAGTTTTGCCAGGTTGAACACCGATGGAACCATTATAAACTCCTCCTGTAGCATAAATGCAGGTATCAAGTGTGATGCTTGTACAGTGTGAAATAGACATTTTACATAATCATGGCAATTATTTTCTTGTGAGGAATATGAAACAGTAATTCCATAGAGACCAGGATTTTCTCTGACTTTTGAAGAAATCTAACCCCTACTTTATAGAGATGTAAAAAAAATTGGGAAGAGCATAGGATACGGTTGAGAGTATTGCGTGACAATATTGCACTGTATTTGTATGTAATCATAGAAAGGGTTCTTCAGCCTAATTTAATAGATACATGTAGTTGTTGGCCTACCTGGTGGCAATAAACTTGCCGGTCCAGGTCCAGTAGGATATGTTATTGTCACTGATGGAGCTGATGTTGTCTGACCTGTTGAGAAACATTGAAAATAGAAACCAAGAACTTGAAAGCCTGGCGTATTTAAATGAGAAATGACAAGTTTAAAAAGGGAAACGTTCATTTCACCTGTCAAACGGAAAGATGTTTCAGTTGTTGTACCAGGTACTGTTCCTATGGATCCATTTATACTTCCTCCTGAAAATGCAAAGGAAATTAAAGATTTATAAGCAAAGCAGTCAGTCATACATGTATTATATAGCACTGGAATTAACAAAACTATGCTTTAGCATGATTCAACTTTGTTGGCACCATTTGTTTGTAGTTTTCTTCCAATAATACATGCAATGTAGAATAAATTGGCCAGGCAAAAGTCTGTATTATTATTGATACACGTTCTTCTTGCATACAGATTTGCAGGATTTTACTTTACCTGCTCCTGGTACTGTGATGGGTCTGCCTCCAATGGGACCTTCTGTTGTAGATGGGCCTTGAGGAAAGAAATAGAGGTTTCCACTGTCATCCAATGTTCCTAAGCAGGCAATTTCTCAAAGTCAGTCATATGACTGTGTTGAGCAATGAAGACTCTTTGAAGAGTGGGAGGATTTTACTGAGGGCTGATCCAATTTGTTTCTTGACATTTATTGCCAGTGAACCTGTTATCAATGGATTTCATGATGACTTGTATAACATACAGAAAACAGATTCAAATTGAATCCAACAGTTTGTCAGTATAAGATATGAAAGCAAAAAATGGTGTTTGGAATGATAATAATAAAAATAATACCAAGATTTATATAGTGCCATTCCAGCTAAATCATGGCACTGCGCAACACATGATAATGAATTTATACTGGAAAAAGATGCTTTTTTAAGTGTTTCCTGAATGATAATATTGTGTCCTGTATTCTAATGCTTGATGGTATTGTGTTCCAATGATGATACTTTTTACATTGAAATGAATGTCTTACTATTATGAAACGAACCCTGTACTACCAGTATATTAAAAAAGTAAGGAATTTTACCTGTGAAAACAAAAGATCCCTCATTTGATGTGACTGGTTGGGTGCCAATAACTCCGCCAGAGCTACCCCCTAGAAGGACAAATAATCCCCGGTAAAGCTCAGATTTTTTTAATGAAGGGAAATATCAAAACCTCTAGAAGTAGAATTTTGCCTACACGTGTATGTCAGAGTTGAATGCTGCATTGTTCTGATATTTATTGAAGAGCACATTTGATTTGAAGAGCACGTTATGTTTTGATAAGGACTAAGATTTAATTATAAAAAAATCATGAAAGGTCTGGTTCAAATTTTAATTTACAAAATGCCTGCAAGTTGTGAACAGCAAAGTCAGGACAATGGTTTACCTGGTGGTGCGACAACAACAGGACCACTGCCTGTAGCCTGTTCTGTTGATGCTGTTAGATTGGAAGCCTGAGTTGTTGTTCCTTGAACATAAGGAATTAATAAAAAAATGGTTATGTTATGCACAAGATGCAATATTCAATTTGAAAAGTTTTTAGTTGCATATGAGATTCAACAATGGTATTTGATTTGTTATGGAATCCAAGCTGTTGTATGGTCTTTCTCTATAATTTTAACACAGTTTGTGTAAATATAAAATCCCAGCAATTAAATTAAGCTGCCTCAATTTCTCACATACTTCACTGTATAAACTTTGATTTGGGTGCATGTATGCTCACTCTCCCCGTGGCAGGTGTTAACATGGTATCATAACTGCTACTCCTGATATAACTCTTACTTCCTCAATGATAAGCAGAACAATGTTGTATTCGAGTCCATCAGAAGTCCTTTCACAAGCCCCTTTACAAGTCTAGTCACACTTCACAAGGCTAGTTATAAGTAACAGGGTGAACAATGACAAAGGAATACTTTTGTCACAGCTCATTTGACTAGCTCATGAATTGGCTTAAGACTGAATGACTTGTGATGGACCTACAGGGACTTGCAGGGACTTGTGATGGACTCAAATACAACACTGAAGCAGAATATTATACATTCATGTCATAATGGAGAAAACAGTACAGATACTATTATGTCTTGCAAGGGGAACACCGTATGACAAATCTGAGTCTCCTGAAATGCTGACTTTATCAAAACTAGCTCAACAGTTCACAAAATGAGAAAGTTATGTCTAATTTCACCAAGAATGCATTGGAAATTATGCTTTCCAGCCTAGTAAGGAATCATACCTGTGAAAACAAAAGATCCTTCATTTGATGTGACGGGTTGGATGCCAATTGATCCTCCGGGACCATGACCTATACAAAAAAAGCTCCATTTTCTTATAAAATTCCCTGCTACTCAGGAAATGAAAATACCTTCCCGTTTGATTTCCTCAAATTTGTTGAGGAGAAACTGCTTAACAGCTAGTGGAGTCCTTCCCATGCTAATACGTGAAAATATCTGGCATTTCTGCGCATGTTGGCCAGTGAGTTGTACTGATAATACAGTTCAGGTACAGATTTAGTAGCATTTTTAAATGGCATTAACAAGTAATAAGTTAAAAACCATAAAAAGGAAACTTTTAACAATTCAATTTACCTGGTGGTGCAACAACTACAGGGCCACCACCTGAAGGCACTGTATTTAATGTTGTAGTTGTCGAGGCCTCCGTTGTTGCACTCCCTTGAATAAAAAATATAAAGGAGGCTGCATGAGGGAGTCGTAACTTCCTATTGTAAAGGTATGTATTTTTCAAGAATGTTCGATTATAAAGATGAACAAACAATTGACTAAAATTAATTTGAACTCGCACCCTCCACAAAACCAGTTCACCATTTCCCAGGTTACATCATGTATTTTGGACAGAGATCCCTGTCTATGTGGTGTTCTTCAGGGTTACTGCTCTGACAAGCAGCCCCTGAACAAAGATATAAACAGATGCAAGGAACCACCAACATATGGGGATGGTTAGCTTAGTTTGTAGAGTGCCTGTATAGTGTTCCACAGGTCACAGGTTCAAATCCTTCAAATCATCTTGATTATTGAAATGCATGTCTGTGCTCTATCAGTTTTCCTGAATGTTTTAACAATTTCTGATTCAGCTGTTTTCTTTGTGTAATTCTGAAGCATAAAACAACAGAAACTTTAAACATCTTCAGTATCAAGGTTTTTTTCAGGGCGAAAATGCACACTTAAAAATATGTAGATTAGTCTAAAGATACTGGTATGGTAATCAGAGTCTAAGTTTGGGCTTAAAATTTGCTCTAAGTTTCACTTTTTCCTTCAAATTTGGGTGTACATATTCCATGGGAATTGTCGAAACTACACCCGGGTAAGTACCCATAGCATTCCTTAAAAACATTAAAGCTGAAAACTAATTATTCTGAAACCTGCTTAAAAGATAAAGTATAATGGAGCACAGCGCAAGAGAAATGAAGTATTACTCCTACAATTTGAGGCGTGGTATATGTAGTGTCTAGTTCTGCATACATTTATGAAGTACATTCCCTGAGCTGTAGATCCCTTACTGCAATAGATTGTGTTTTAATAATTCACCTGTGCTTTCTTCCAGAGGAACTTGAGTGGTTATTATTGTTGTTGTGGTAGATGATGGAGTAACTGTAACTTCTTTGACGGTAGTGACTTTCTCAGTTGCAGATGGGAAAGTTGTTGTTGTTGTTATCGTTGTTCCTGGAGCTGGAAAGCATATTATGTATGCAAATAAATGACTGCCTTTGAAGTACAAAATTACTACCTTTTGTCTGTTAAGGTTACTCTTATGAGGAGTGAAATTGAGTGTATCTGTCCTGCTCATAGTTTTGAAAATTGTATTTTTTACAATATTTCTTATTAAAGCTGAGTAAATTTGCATAACTGAAGGTTGGATATTCAACCTTCCATTTAGGTAAATATTTGAGTATTCAGTTGTACCAACTTCCCACAAAAGCGGAAACAAATCATGGAAGTTTGTGTGGTAGTTAAGCCCTCTACGTTTCAGGAAAGTGGTCTGTCCCCAAGTTGGTATTATCCAAGTGTCATTCTGTCCTAATTGGGGACTTTTTTTGCCTTAGTCCGCGGAAAATCACGCACCACAAATCACGCACCACAAAAAGTAGGAAAAAAATGGAGGATTTATTTTTGGCCTGTTGGACATATGCACCAGGTTTTAAATACTCAAAACATCTTGAAACATGCTTTTAGAATGCAGTGTTGAAACCCAATAAATAGATTTTGTTCCTCTTTATTTTACTGATATGCACCTCCAAACACTTGATTTTGAAAAAAAAATTGCAATATAAGATTATTCAGCTAATTTGAAAGCACAGCCCCATTTCTCATCTCACTAAAACTGGCATTCTAATGTTTAAAAAATAATATGGAAATAATTCTTTTGAGGTTATTAACCTGTATAATGCCATTCACTAGGTTTGAAAGACACAGGGCCATACCTATGGTTGCCGTGGTTGGAAGGTGTGTTGCTGGCAGTGCAGTTTTCAGCAGAGAGCTTGCTATTTCAGGTAATGTTGTCGATGATGCCATTCTCAAAGTAGTTGGATTAGCTGAGAACAGAAACTCATTACGCGATGTAGAAGGAGTTTCTTGAGATATCTGGCCACTGCCTCCACCTGCCAGGTACAGAAGGACTCGTTTAAACAGATGTCACAAAGGCATTTGTTATTTTATTTTGTAGCTGTTTTCATAAACAGCATTTCCTTACCTTGACCTGTAACAGGCTGTTGATGTCCTGAAGTGATACTTCTGAGAGGAGTGGTTGCTAATGGTGTTGTTGGTGTTGCACTCTGTCTTGTACTTGAAAGTTGTTGCGTAGTTGCTGGCAATGTTGTACTACTTCTTGTACTTGTGGGTGGACGAACTGTCGCCAAAGTTGTTTTCAACAGTGTGGTTGCCACAGCAAGTGGAGTAGTCAATGACAGAGTACTTATCCTTGCACTTGCAACTGGAGTAGCTGTGGGCAATGCTGTTTTCAAAAGTGCAGCTGTCGTTGAAAGTAGAGTAGTCGCTGATGTTGCACCCATTATTGAAGTGGCTGGATTAGCTGAGAATGCAAACTCATTACGTTGTGTAGAGAGAGATCCTGGAAAAATTTGGCCATTACCTACACCTGTAAGAATAAGTTCCCAATATATTTCTTTTGTAAATATACATTTGGAACTTTAAACTTATTAGTACTTGAATGTCAAAGAACTAAAACCTGTCACTTTATTTTAACATTTCATTTTTTACCGTTGAAATATGATGCAGATACACATGTGATTACTGGTACTAAAACTACTGATAAAATGGGTAAAAGATCTGTGGTTATACTATGCAAAATACCTCCTTTGTGAGTATGTGTGGTTCTGATAAGAACAGAAGCGTTCTCGATGTTTTACACAGTATGCTCTGTCCTTTGTCAGGAGACTGCAATTAGAATCACACATACTCACAAAATAGATACATTCCTTGGTGCTACTGCAAAATTATTACTTCACTTGTCAACTTCACAATGAGAACTTCAAATCTCAAACTACAGATATAGTCATGTACCTCTGACCTATGATTACAGTTTCTTATGATTGGGGAATGAATGCATTGCAGACTCAAAAAAGTTTAGTTTCATCATGTGGTGGCTGTAACAAGACACCACTGACTTGATATTGAATTGTGGGCAGCCAGCAATAGACTACTATGTGTTTTGCCATTTTTGTGTGGTCAATGGGATGAATAACATGCGCAATCTAGACAAAAAGAGGTGTCCTCAATTAGTGAACTTAAAAGAGAAAAAATGTATAAGAGTGCTAGATATACAACAAAATTATAAACTAATTTTTAATTGCTTACCTTGACTAGGCACAGGCTGAAATGGTTGTAATGAAGTGCTTTTGAAAAGTGTTGTTCTTATAGCCATTGCACTTGTGTGTGGAGTTGTTGTAGGACGTCGAGGAGGT